TGTGTATATGTATGTGTGCATGTGCGTATGTGTACAGTCAGTGCCAGAATTATAACGGAGCCAGGAGGACAAAAGTACGGTAAAATACCGTACCTTTGTCCTCCTCCGGGTTCCGATTCGGAGCGGAGTCGGGAAATTTAATTATAGAACGGGGAGGAGGACAAAGGTACGGTATTTTACCGTACTTTTGTCCTCCTGGCTCCGTTCTATAATTTCTGGCACTGACATGATATTTACTGCATATTTGTACATATACAATCTATAAAATGAAGATTTAATGAGGATTTAATGAGGATTTGATGAGGAAATGAAGATAAAATGCAGATAAAATGAAGATTTGATGAGGAAACGAGGATAAAATGAGGATAAAATGAGGATAACATGAAGATAAAATGAGGATTTGATGAGGAAATGATGATAAAATAAAGATAAAATGAACATAAAATGAGGATTTAATCAGGATTTAATGAGGATTTGATGAGAAAATGAAGATAAAATGAAGATAAAATGAAGATAAAATGAGGATTTGATGAGGAAATGATAATAAAACGCGGATAAAATGAGGATTTAATGGGGATTTGATGAGGAAATGAGGATAAAATACAGATTTAATGAAGATTTAATGAGGATAGAACGACGAAAAAGGTTAGGAGTAAATTCAGATACTTTTTTTTTCATACCTTCCGAGGAAAACAGAATTATAGAACAACAGGGTACGGTAAATAACCGTACCTTCGTACTCCTCAACTTCCGTTCTATAATTCTGTTTTCCCCCATTTTTCCCACATTTACCAGGTGATTTTCTCAGATTTCATGGTGATTTTATAGGAATTCATAGTGGTTTTATGGGATTTCATGGTGATTTATGGGATTTCACGGTGATTTTCTTAGATTTCATGGTGATTTTGTAGGATTTCTGGGACCCCGGAAGAGGTTCTATAATTCTATAATTAATTTTTCCGTTCTATAATTAATTTTTCCGTTCGACGGAAAAATTAATTATAGAACGGGGCCCGGGAAACATTAATTATAGAACGAAAATGGGAAATGTGAGAAAAATGGGGGAAAACAGAATTATAGAACAACAGCGCTCCGACAAGAATTATAGAACGACGAAAAAGGTTAGGAGTAAATTCAGATACATTTTTTTTCATACCTTCCGAGGAAAACAGAATTATAGAACAACAGGGTACGGTAAATAACCGTACCTTCGTACTCCCATTTTTCCCACATTTACCAGGTGATTTTCTTAGATTTCATGGTGATTTTATAGGAATTCATAGTGGTTTTATGGGATTTCATGGTGATTTGGTGGGATTTCACGGTGATTTTCTTAGATTTCATGGTGATTTTGTAGGATTTCTGGGACCCCGGAAGAGGTTCTATAATTCTATAATTAATTTTTCCGTTCTATAATTAATTTTTCCCTTCGACGGAAAATTAATTATAGAACGGGGCCCGGGAAACATTAATTATAGAACGAAAATGGGAAATGTAAGAAAAATGAGGAAAACAGAATTATAGAACAACAGCGCTCCGACAAGAATTATAGAACGACGAAAAAAATTAGGAGGAAGATCAGATACATTTTTTTTCATACCTTCCGAGGAAAACAGAATTATAGAACAACAGGGTACGGCAAATAACCGTACCTTCGTCCTCCTCAACTTCCGTTCTATAATTCCGGCACTGACCATATGTGTATGTGTATGTCTATGTCTACGTCTATGTGTGTGTGTGTGTACCGTCTGAATAGACGTAAAACTTCTTATACTTTATATATTTATATATGCGGGGGGTCACCGGGGTCCCTGGGAGGTCGGTGACCATCGAAGACACCTCCCGGGGACCCGTGTAAACGTACCCGCGGGACTGTGGTGACGCACCTGGGCGCAATTGTAAGACGCAGCTGGTGGTCACCATAGTCCCATATATATATATTTCATCCATATCTAAGTAACTAATCTAATCTGCATGTTACAGGACTCAGTTCCTGCCGGATCATATAATGATCCATTCTTGTCTAGTGTGATTTCCATGGTGGCTCCGACATGGTGCCATGGAGCCATTTGAGGCAACCCTCTTTAGGGTGAGTGTCGACAGTCTGGAATTCTGAATTTACACATTTTAATTTGGTAATTCATCTAAGTAAATTGCAACAGCTGGCCTTACTGTTTTCCAGCCTTTTCAGGGTTGTCCTGCTGTTCCTGTTGTCCCAGGGACCCCAGTGCTGCGTTCTTTCAAGGGAAGTCAATCCGAATGCGCTGAAACCTCCGTTTTTTGCAGCAACTTTGCAGCACCGTTGCATCAGATCACGACATATGAATCAGGCAGGCACATGACTTTCAGGTGTGGTACTCCTTCCTTTTGGTTCTCTGGTGAGGTGAAACATATTGTGCATCTAATTCGTTGGAACTTGGAAGCTGTTTTATGCCATTGCGGCAAGACTTGACCACGGTCCCGGTGCAGGGAATAATCGCACGACTCTTAGGAATTTAGGGACTGAATCCTGTTTGTTGTTTGGTTTTGTTTTCACCAACTAGTTCCCCATTGGTCCCCTATCTCATGCTTCCTTCCCCCCCCAGGTAGGTTGGCTCCGTCGCGTGCTGAGGTTTTTGTAGGTTTTCGCTGTGTCAGGTTGGTTCAGGCGCTTCCGTCTTCCCCCCCCTCCGTTGGTCTTGGTCCGTGTCCTTCGACCCTCCGCTTTTTCTTTTCCCTTGCCTTTTCAGGGTTCGCCCGTTCCGGGCTAGGTGTGTTGGTGTGTGTTTTCTCCTTCCCTCTTCTTTTGCGTTCCCCTCTTCGCGTCCTGGTTAAGTAACTTTCATCTCATTTTCACTCTCATCTCATCTTTCATCCCCTGTTCATCCTCATCTTCATCTCATGTTTACGCGCACCACCCTGCCGGAGGCGGGGTGTGTGTGTGTACCGTCTGAATAGACGTAAAACTTCTTATACTTTATATATTTATATATGCGGGGGGTCACCGGGGTCCCTGGGAGGTCGGTGACCATCGAAGACACCTCCCGGGGACCCGTGTAAACGTACCCGCGGGACTGTGGTGACGCACCTGGGCGCAATTGTAAGACGCAGCTGGTGGTCACCATAGTCCCATATATATATATATATATATATTTCATCCATATCTAAGTAACTAATCTAATCTGCATGTTACAGGACTCAGTTCCTGCCGGATCATATAATGATCCATTCTTGTCTAGTGTGTATGTATGTGTATGTGTATGTGTATGCGTATGTGTATGTGTATGTGTGTGTATGTGTGTATGTGTGTATGTGCGTATGTATGTCTGTCTGTCTGTCTGTCTGTCTGTCTGTCTGTCTGTCTGTGTGTGTTTTAATGTAATGAAATGTAATGTAATGAAATGTACGTGTATGTGTATGTGTATGCGCATGTGTATGTGTCGATGTGTTGACATATATATATATATAATTAATTAATTAATTATAATTATCCATTGTAACCATTCATTTTGGGCTACCCCGATTCTGCTCGTGCAAAGGTCACATCGGATCTCATCATCCCCAAATCATGTCCGAAGTACAGTCGAACGAGTCGATGCTCAAATTGTGGCTTAAACATGTTGAAAACACCTATAAACATCGTATAAACATCATATAAACATCACTTAAAACTCCTGGGAAGTACCCCTTTTCTGAGTCCAAGTCGACCCTATCCATTTTTCGTGTGTCGGAACACGGAGCACTGGGAGGAGATCAAGCGATGGGGATCCGGTGCTACCAGCTATAAGTGAGTGAAATGAGCCCATAGAAATGGCATGTATATCCCCATAGAAAGAACCATTAAAAATCAAAATAAAATATAGCTGGTAAAGGACTTTACAGTTATAACTGGCTTAAACAACCTCATTGAAGTGATTGTTTAACCTTAGTTGCCAGAGTTTCAACCCCATTTATAAGTGCTAAGTGCCGCAACTGCAAAAATGTGGTGACTTACGAAGTAACGAATGGCCTCGAATGGTGCTAGTCTCACTAGTGTCACCATTCTATGATTCTGATGGGAACTGCTGAATGAATTTTACTTGTCCAACTTTCACCAAACAGTCAAGTGGAGCATCAAAGACAGGGGTGTAACAGGGCTACAATATAGAAGCCCTCTACCAATATGTTTATGCTTATATAAAACTTAAAATTCAATGCTCTATTTCTACGTTAGGCATTTTTTTGATGAGCAAATTTTTATAGATCTCTCAAGTGCAGTTGCAGTGGATTTATCTAGTTTTGATATTAAAGATTTTATATGCCAACTCATTTCAAAAATTGAACAGGGGTTATCATTCCCATATCATAAAGGGTGTTATTTCACTGACTTTTAGCTAGTAAAGGGCCATATCAACTACCAAAAACAAAGGGATCTGACTCTGTGGCTGCGGCTCAAAGATGAGATACTTCAAACACCAGAAATGGGTGGTAACTCAACCCCACCCATCCAATTCAAGTTAAACATGGTCAAAACTCGGGGTAGTCTGAAAATGGGCTACCCCAAATTCTAATAGATCATCTGTCAAAAATGATATCCTATAATGTTCCCTAACAAAAATGGTGCATCATGGGTATTCCAATTTTTCAGAAAAAAAACATTCATCCGGGCAAATATGACATTTGATAGTCATCACTATCCATTTTAACATTGCCACATATTATTGGGGAACAAGCCCCTCCCGGACTCCCTGCCGTCGAATCATCGGAATCATCCCAGTCTGGGTTGCCGGTGAAACGAAAACAAACGGAACGCGCCGAGCAGAAACGGTGAGCTGGGCACTGTCCCCTGTGATCAATTCCAAAAATAATTAGAACAATTGAGCAATGATACATTGCCACAGCCTTGGGGAAAATGATGTTAGCGACATTGAGAACTGGCATTGCTGGCGTTGGCAAAAATGGCCCTGTTTGCTTCAGACCTCCCAGCTCAACCTGACGGCTAAACCGTCGTCTCTGACCGCGCTACTAAACAATCCCATGAATCACATGGATTTCACCTCAGGGTTATCCTCAGGATGCCCTGTGCTGACATTTCTTTCCTGGCGCGGATCGAGGCCGCGCATCTGAGCAACATCTGGGCCATGTACTAAGAAGGTTTTATTACCAAACATCATATGACTTTTCAGTGTGTATATATATATACATTATACGCGTTAACGAGTAATTAAACCCTAATATATTCATCCGCAATATCATTACTATCATCAGCATGCTTGTTACTGGGATTGTCAATGTCGTTCCTTTTACTGTCTTGAGAACTCCGCGCCTGTTTTCCAAGCAAAAATGCCTGCAGTGATACAGGTACACTTCTATGCTGTGATTTGTGCGTGTCATCCTTCGCACCTGACAGACTCCCCCAATCGTGATTTGCACGATTCGAAGGAAAGATTGAATTTGGCACCCAGCCAAAAATTTGAATTTCATGACCAAACAATTTGGAACCTAAATTGGTAGGTTCAAGGCATTTTGTCCTTGGAGGATGCTCGCCAAGTCTTGTACATTGATGCCATTTTGGCAGGCGACCACCCCTTGCCTCTATTTTGATGTTGAAAAAGATTCCATGGATTGTGCAAAGTCGCTTTAGATTCTGCACCAACCCTAAGTGCCTCGCTCACTTCGCCAGCACGCTGCATCAACGCATGCTCGATGCCACCATCAGCCGCAGAGATCTGCGCCACAGCAGCCAAGGCCTGCTCAAGGCCAGAAGCATCAGCAAAAAGGCCAGCAGCGCCGCTCGAAGAAGAGGCCTGCTCAGGGCCAAGATCCGCAGCATCATCAACAACGACGGCCTGCACAGGGCCAGCTCCAGCGCGTAAGGCCAGCACCGCTTGAAGATGCACCAGCAGCCGCATTCATAGTTCGCAAGGCCTGCACAAGGCCAGCACTGCCCAAGGATGCTCCAGCAGCCGCATTCGTAGATCGCAAGGCCTGCGCAGGGCCACCACCAGATCCAGCAAAATGGGCCTGCTCAGGGCCAGCACGCTCGGCAGTTATGGGTACTGATGTTGTTGAACTTGAGGCCTGCTCAGGGCCAGACACACCAAGGGCCTGCACAGGGCCAACGCTCCGCAAAGACATCGTCACAGAGGCCTGCACAGGGCCATAGCTCGACGATCCTGCTGAAGGGGCCTGCACAGGGCCAGAGCTCGAAGATCCTGCTGAGGGAGCCTGCACAGGGCCCGAGCTGCTTGAAGAGCTCGTTCTCCACCTCAACTTATATCTTCCTTCACCATCATCTTTGGTAGCGGAGCTTGTTGATGGAGCTTGCATCTCACCAGAAGGCCTCGATGGCGAAGACGACCACACCTGCAATCCGCGCATACAGCATTGACCAGCTTGAACTGCCAGCTTGCCAGCGTAGATTGCCCCAAGGATCATCAAAACCACCGCAGCAATCCAAAGTGGATCCGCTTCATCTTGTTCTCCCTTGATTTCCAAAGCTTCAGCTTCGGACAAAAGAGTCTGCCCCACCAAAAAACTCATTGCAGAAGCTGCACCAGCATGAACCCGTTTTTGGCTGTTGCGACTTCGTACTTGAGCCGCACGTACTTCAGGGTCTTCAGGCCGCAAAAACGGTGCATTCATGCCCAGGTTTTCCACAAAACGTTGAAAGGCAGCTCCAAAAAGAGGCTTTGTAAAACCATCAGCAACCAGGTCAAGGCCACGCACATGGATCAACTTCCATTGGCCTCCAGCTGCATCAGTTTCATCCAGGGCTTGTTTCAAAAGACTTGCTCTGATGCGCAAGTGTCTTGTACGCCATGAAGAAGACGTAGTTCCATTGGCCAGTCCAATCGCGGCAATGTTGTCACCATAGATGACTTTCATCACAGCTGTAACACCTGTGAGCTCCATCACTAGAGCTTCAGCTGCCTTGCCAGCGATCAAACCTTCGCAGTAACTGACCAATTCAGCTTCTGCAGTGCTATATGTCACAAAAGGCTGTTGCCTCCTTTGCCAACAGATCGGCTGACCACCCAGGCAAACAACTATTCCCTGGACGCTTCTATGGCCAGAACCTGCTGAGTAGGCGATATCGCAGAAAATCTCCAGGAGCAGGTCGTTCCTTCTCACCTTCAACTGGCCATGGGCGCCCCATTCATCAGGAACCTTTGTTGTGTACCTCAAACCAACGCCAGGGTTTCCCTTGACGTATTTCATCAACGTTGTGCCGATCTGGATGGCTTTGACAGGAGCCTTTGTCATAAGCCTGCTCATTGTTGCAACTCCATGAGCAAGGTCAGGTCGTGTTCGTGAACTCAACCACAGCAAAGAACCAGCCATAGCTTGAGCTGTCCTGACATCGTTTGGGTCAGGGCTTTCTTCAACTTCTTGATCCTCAGCAACCTTGTAATTAGTGAGGATATTCAACTCCATCTTCAACATTCCAACGTTGCAACATCTCCTGCTCGTACATGTGCTGGTTGACATGAAAACCATCTCCTTTGGCGTCTTCAGAAATCTCAAAACCGCAGTACTTGAGAGGTTTGTCAACACCAGCCCACTCCACAGAAGACGTTGTCCAAACTCCAGAGAGAGCTTGTAGAGCGCCATGAACTGCAAACTCTTCACCAGTGACCAAAATGTCGTCCACATACACCGACATGAGGCCATTCCAGTGGATGAAGCCAGATTCATCCAGTTCTTCCAAGCGCCAAACATTTTCATCTTTTGTTTTCTCAAAACTTCCAGTCAGCAGCCCGTTCTGATCTTGCCTTGTCCACTTCAGCGTTGGCAAAACTGCATCACGATGTAGACACCAGTCCCTTGGTGAAGCCTGGAGTCCGTACATTGCCAGCATGATGAGCCAAACTTCATCAGGTCCAGCCAGGCCCAACATTTTGTACACGTGCGGCACTTCCATAGCTATGAGTCTGGAGTCCCTTCTCGGCGCATTGAGGAACGCCGTTCGTATATCTGTTGAAGCAGCTTTCCACTTGTACTGAGCACTGATCCTTAGCATTGTTCGGATCTGTGTTGCATCAGCACCTCCAGCGTACGTGTTGTCGTCATTTGGTGTCTGGTAGTTTCCACACACCACTGCTCTTGAACGGTATGCTCCTGATCCAGCTTTCCTAGTGTGAACCATTTTTGCTGGAAGGATCTCCAAAGTTTTGTTCTGCTCGATCAGCCATTTTTTGGAGTTCCGTTCTTGTCGTTGGTTTGACAGCCTTTTTGTTGACGACAAGCTGCTCGTACTCGGCCTTGATGGATTCAGTCCAGTCGGCAAGGTTTTCACGAACCTCTTTGTTGCTGACCGTTTTGGTGACCAAAAACTCATGGGTCAACTGTTGTTGTTGTTCTTCAGCTCGATCTTCATCCGCAAGCAGTTGAATTTGTTCTTCAACTTCAACCTTTCTAACCAGAGCTTTATTGAGCTCAGGGAGGCACCACATTTGTTCAGGGAAGGTGCCATCAATCTTGCAGATCTCCTCGGCGATATAGTCCGAGACATTGTCGTGGATGGTTTGGAGGGCTTGTATCTTTGACATTCTAACCAGAACATTTCTTGATACATTTGTTAGGCGCCTCCCCCAAATCCTCCTCCACATCACTTTCCTCCTCCTTTTGATCATGAACTTCACCAGTTTCTGTTTGCACCCCATCACCATCCTTTTCATCATCATGCCCTGGTAGCGGAGCATCATGAACCTCTTGTTGTTCTTGAGGTGGATGTTGTTGTGCTGGAGAAAGCGTTGTTTCCAAAGTCCATGAACCTTCAGAGGCAACTTCATTGTCATTCGGCAGCGCAAACTCAAACACACTGCCAAACTTTGCAAGGATGCGCTTCTCCCCCTCAATGTACAACATTGACATAGTGGCAATTGCTGGAGGCGGAGCTGTCTTTGATCTCAATCTTTGTGCTGGCACCCCATCACGGAAAAGAGGTTGAGCTTGACCACCATCACGTTCAGGGAGATATGGCAAAACTTCTCCCCCGGGACCAGCATCGACAGCTGCATTCATGCCATCATCCGCAGGAATCACCACATCATCTGTGTAGGAGCACCTTTCCGTTGCAATTGCTTTGACATAGTATGTTGTAGTGGTTATAGAAGATCCTTCAGCAGGGCCCCACACCACAACTTCTTCTCGGCAATCAAGCCATTGAACGTAGCGATCTTGCCAGCTTTTCTTGAGGGCATATAGGCTTTGGAGCCAAACCTCAAAAGTTTTCCAACTGGCCAGCCTGCTTGGTTGAGTTGATTGCGGAGACGTCTTTCTCCAACATGTCGCACCGCAAGAGGCCATCTGTCCAAAGGGCATGCTCCAGCAGAGATCAAAGTGCGGACACCTTTTTTGATCATCCCAACTTCGTTTTCAGCTCTGCCATTTGTTTTGAAAGCACTGTCAGGTGTCATAGTTTGAACTATTCCACGGTCAAGACACCATTGATGGACAGGTCGAGCCAAAAATTCACGTGCACGGTCGCTGTGCATTCGGTACACTGGGCAGCCCAAAGAGCGCAAACGAGCATAGATCTTGGCGATCGCCGGCAGCACGTTGTGCACATTTCGATCTGCAATGGGCTCTGCAAAAGTGAGGTTGCGCACAGTGACGGACTCATTGATGAGACGCATCCAAGTGTCGTGCATTCCATAGGCTGACTTCACTTCTTCATCTTCCACAAGGTCAGGAACCGATTCTTCTTGGAGAGGATCAGGTTCATCTTGTGCAACTCCTGCAGGAAGACCTTGTTCATGTCGAGCTTCATGGCCCGCTTGTTGTTGATCTCGTTCACCATGTTGTTGAGGTGGTTGACCATCTCCAGGTTGTTGTTCTTGAGGATCACCAGAGAGCTCAGGGTCATCAAGGCCAGGCAAAGGGTGATCTTCCTCTTCATCTTGGTCAGGGCGCAGCAACAGTGGTTTCCCCTTTTTGTTGACGGGGTATGTGTAACATCCAACCAAGAAGTATTTGCAGGTACCAGGAGTTTGGTCCTTGCCACCAATCATCCGGCCGGACATGTCCAAGCTCAAAGTGAAGCTTTCAGGATGACAAACTCGGCGATGTGCTCGACTGCGACCTTGAGAACGTACACAATGGCTGCAATCTCGACGGGCCGGCATGTGGTCCTGCAAGTAGTGTTGCTTCCATTGTTGAAGGGCAACATTTCCAATTGCAGCGACACCAACAGGTCGGACATCGTCATTGGCATAAACAACGCCAGTAGGATCTTCAGGTCCTTCACGTGGAGGCGCTTCACGGCGAATCCATCTGCTGATTGCTTCAGCCACTGCAGCCTTCAAACCAGGTGCCCAAGCCGCCCAAGTTTTTGAGAGAGCACATCTTTCTTTCACGCTAAGTTCTGGTAGCGGAGCAACTTCAGGTTCAGCTCCACAACCTCGCACATTTTGTAGCTGCATCATCTCATTCATGTTGATCAAGGCCAAAGTGGTTGGCTTTCGTTTTGGGTGTCCAAAAGGCCCTTGATCAAAAGAGATCAGCTTGGCGTTGTAGGCTTCTTGGAAGCTTTTCCATTCCTGAGTTCTCCACATTAAAAAGTACTGGTGCTCATCCACATCCTCCTTCTTGCGGTATTCCGCTGGGTCTTGAGGCTGTTCACAAAGAAATGCAGTTTGAGCTTGTTCTTTTGGACGCACTTCTTCGCAGAGGATGTACATCAGCATCAACCGGAGCCACAGAATTGAGTCATTGGTGACCAATTCAGCTTGTTGTGGAGTCAATGATGGCAAACCGTATGGGTGATCTTCTGTTCGAAGAATTGGTGGACCATCATCTTTTTGAAACCTGAGAGCACTTGTTGTTCTACATGGAGGACCACCAAGTAGAGCTTTGACACGTTTGCTGGCGCACAAAGAGAGCAAAAACGCAAAGGTTGTTTCATCCAAAGCATTTGAAGGTGTTGAAGCTTCCAAGTCCACGCGCAACACCTCAGTGTGCTCATTTGACAAGCGCCGCTCCCAGTAAGAAGCATCAGGTCCACTGTACATGTGGATGATCACATTCTTTGCCATCATGGGTCTTTTTCGCTTTCTGCGATTCCATGGAAGGTTCAAGCCGATGTTGGGGTCCGTGAGCACTGAGAAATCTGGGACCAGCTTCAACGCCAAATCTTCAGGCAAAGTCGGCATGACCTCCTTGAGCTTGACAAGCATCGCCATTTCAATGCTCATGTTGTTGCCAAGACCGGCAGCACCCCTTGTCAAGATAGACTTCAAGGTCATCTTTTTCAGCTCTTGTTGAATTTGATGCTGTTCCAACACCGTCAGCAGCTTCGCTCCAAATTCATGAGCAACGTAGGGACATCCATTGTGAAGTTCCACATCGATCTTTTCTCCAGCTTTTGTGTAGAGATGGCACATGTGGTCCTTCCACACCAACTTGTAGTTGAGCTCGTTCAAGCATCCCATTGGAACGATCCAAGAGGTATTTTCAGGCCGAAGGAGAGGATCGGAAAGCAAAACTTTGGTGCCAGGCTTCAAACGGAGGCTTTCTGTGACACCATCGGCCAACATCACCTGAGTTCTTGTGCCAGACTGCCATTCTTCTTCAGAAACTGCAGGACGTAGGCCATGTGTCGCACCAGAGTCCAGCAACACCATTTGAGCATGAGGCTCCAAGTTTGACAGCCGCATCACCTTCAGGTTGGGCATACGCAGAGACTTCAGCAACTGTGTGGCTTCTGCCAACAGTTCAGTGGTCGCAGGAGTGGCAGCTGGAGCTCCCCCCTTATCCACCTCCGAGGTTGCACTAGATAAAGCCCCAAGGGAGTTACTCTCAGCACCCAGTCCTGGACCATCAGCGCACGTACTAGAGGAGGTTTGATCAGTTGTTGAGCTTGCAGCTGAACCATCATGACCTTTTCCAACTGAAGCTTGCTTGACAGCCGCTTTGTTGTTGGCTGCATTTTGATTTCCACTACCACGTCCTCCCCCCAAACCAGAGTCGTAGGGCGAAGGTTTGTTGTTGTTGCCATTGCCCTTGACTTTGCATTCAGTTTTTCTGTGATCTTTGCCGCCACAGATCCAGCATCGACTGTTCTTGTCCTCGATGCCCTCCCAAGAGTGAGACCACTTGCAGCTTCGACCAGCTTTGCATCCAGTGTCGCTCTTGAAGAACTTGCATGGTTGCTCCGACATAGGAGTTGAATGTCCCTTGCCGGACTTGTTGCCATAGTTGCCAGGAGTGCCTGGCTTTTGAGGTGAGTTTGATGCTTCAGCATCCATTTGTTTGAGCCGCACAGGTGTGCTCATACTTGTAGAAGTCGTAGAAGAGGTCTTCAGCAGGCTCAAGGTTTCCGCTTCAGCCAGCAAACATTGACTGAAGCTCCAAATTGACTGCTCCGTAGGACGTTGATCCAGTGCAAGTTGTTGTCGACTTGTAGAAAGCCTGAAAGCCGCTTGAGCGTCCTCCTTGGCGATCTGGACCACCGCAGTTTCAAGTGCCTTGATGAGAAGCACTCCATCAGGTAGGCTAGCTTCTACTTCTCGAGCTCTTGCAAAGTGTCTCCGCCATGTTCTCAACGAAGAAGCCAATTCCTGCATTGAAGATGCCTTTTGCAACGAAGTCAGTTGGCCCAAGAGGATTGCCTTTTCACCTGGTCCTCCTGGTTGATGCCGCACGTAGAGGCGGAACAAAATCGCCGTACTGGTCAAATCTCGATCCACCACCAACTCCTTCTGCTGCTCCTCGCTCACCGCCTTGAGCAACAAAGTGACGCCCCTCTGCTCCGTTCTGATGAAGCTACTTGCCATCAGTTCATCAGGAAGACGAGGACAAAGTTGAACTCGCTGAAGAGGAGATAGACCCTTCCATTCCGTGTAGAAGGCATGTGCTTGACGCACCGTTGAATCCCACCATCTTCCAGTGACATGAGATAGGTCTTTCATGATTGGCCAACAAAGACAAAGCCAATCTCCAAATTCCAAAGGCGAGGCACCATTTGGCAACGTTGGCAACTCCAACTTTCCGCCACTACCTCCACCAGCAGATTCCCATGATGTTGGCATTGGTGCAACACCCATAGTTCCTTGCCCTTGCGCTCCTTGAAGAGGATGCCCTTGTTGAAGAGGATCTTGAAGCCCAGGGATCGCCGTAGAACCACCATGCAAAGCCCGATCATGAAGTGCTCCTTCACCAAGAACCGTGCCATGCAAAGCCCGACCTTGAAGAGCTCCATCACCAAGAACAGCACCATGCAAAGCCCGATCATGAAGAGAAGCTTCACCAAGCGCACCACTCTGCCCAACGCCATGCAAAGCCCGAGCTTGAAGTGCTCCATCACCAAGCGCAGCACCATGCAGTGCCCGACCATGAAGAGCTCCATCACCAAGCGCAGTGCCATGCAGTGTTGAAGCGCCCTGCAAAGAAGCCCGATCTCCATGAACAAGTTCACCATGCAACAACCGCCGCTGCTCCAGTGACGATGCTTCGACAGGCATTGGTGGCATTCCAGACGACCAAAACTGTTGACCCTCTTTCAATGGCCATGCTTTGGAAATTTCAAAACTGTTTCCATCAGTTGCTACTTTTTCCAAAACCTTTTTCAAAGAGTTCACCTCTCACTTGGAAACGGAGGCACAGGTGGTGGTGGACATGAAGGCATGCGACTAACATCATCCATTGGTGGAGGCCCATCAGGAATTCGTGTTCCATTGGGGGTACACTGCAACTTGTCATCTTTTTTCACACGCCCATCCCCAGCTAGCTTGACAGGACTTCCATGACCCTGCTTTCTAGTTGGTCTTGGAGATCTACTTGACCACCTTTTTGCACCCATCGCCGACCGCTTTCCAAGCGATTCACCTTCCACCACAGTTGACCATGGTGACGAACCTGCAGAAGCTTGATCACCTCGAGCTTCCAAGGCCGTTTTTAAATCAGACACCTGCATCATCAGCTGCGCGTTCTGTTGACGCAAAAAGTCTACCAGCTCAACTTCGAGGTCTCGCTGAAGTTCATCCACTGCCGGGCGAACGCTGCCCACTTTTTTCTCATTCATACCAACTTCCTCATGTCTCTCAGAACCACGCATAGCTCCCATGGTTTGTTGAACCGTTGGTGGAGTTTCCATTGGCATAGCCCCTTGAGATTGCATCCCAGTTGGTTGCTGACCAAACACTGTAGGTCTTTCCAGGCTTGGGGGTGTTGCAAACAAACCGGTTCCATCCCCGCCACGACCCTTCCCAGTTGGTGGCCTTCCATCTTGCACAGGCGGAACTCGCCCTTCATCTTCTGCAGGAAGATGCCTTGGCCTTCTTTCACGAAGCGCTATCTCCTGCTGCAGCCGCTCACTGTAGAACGGGTTCGTGCCAGTTCCATCAGCAACTACGTAGTCCCTGCTGCTAGGCAACGAAAGGGACCTCGACATCACAGCGCAGTAGAGTTCCTTGGGCTCATAACCCTTGAGAACTCCGTGCCTGTTTTCCAAGCAAAAATGCCTGCAGTGATACAGGTACACTTCTATGCTGTGATTTTGTGCGTGTCATCCTTCGCACCTGACAGATGTCGTTCCTTTTACTGTCATTGCTATAATTGAAAAATGTTGCTATTTTAATACTTATTACAGTTACTTTCAGTACTATCATTACCGTCATTGCTGTCAACTGCTATATCTGCTATCATTAATTACCCTTATCATACTATCATTCTTATCACTGTCATTGCTATCATTACGATTACATAATCATGACACTTACTATCATTATATACTATTATCATTACTCTTACAGTAATGGTACTACAATACTATTCATTGTGTCATTACTATTATATACTGTTATTAGATAGTATACAGGTATAGTTACATATCCTGGATGTAGTAATACTATCCATGGCTATTTTTCTGTCATTCTTCACTCCACAAGGCCCCACAAGGAAGAAAACGCCTGCAAGACCAACGCCTGCAGCATGAGTTCTGGTCGTCGCGCCTCCGAATCGAAGATAAGCTGTTGGTTTATAAATCCGTGAATACATATGTATATGAATACTATAGTCATATCCCGCCAAAAAAAAAAACACATCCGTAAACCCTACTTAACCAAGTTATCTGCAAAATGTGAGCTGGTGAAAGTTGATATTCCCATTGGAATGTAAAAGACTGAAGCATTTTTCCCAACCCATTCAGTTGGTTAACCTCGGAGTCATGGGGGATTTTCAGGTCACCAAATGGTGAAATATCATGTGATGCTACGATCGGATCAGTTTGGAGTTTTTTTTTAAACGATGTTCACTGTCGGGTTTTTCACATATCAAACTAGTTACGTTCGCTTCGTGGAGCTTACAGTCCAATGTTGGGTTCATAGGTAGATCAAAGTTTTTCAAAGTTGTTCATGGCGGTTCTAGTCCAACAACCATAACCCGGGGCAAGGAACATTGTACCAAAATAGGGATTGATTACAAAATTAGGATAATTTGGTATACTTTGCTATCCTAATTTTGCCCTCATGTTACATTGTACAATTTAATTTTGGCATTAATGGGACAAAATTAGGATAGTTGAAACATGAGGGCAAAAACCAGCCATAATGGGCATATCAAGGGGATACCAACAAACATGAAACGAGCAAGATCTGGAATACAACGATAGTGTTGTCCATAATTATACATTAATAGCTAGTAATGATAATCCTCCATTCAAACCTATAGTATTAGTATGTGAATACCCACTAATTATCGTTGAGAATTGCGAGAAACACTTCAACATCGCCTGCCAACGGACCGTCACATGGCGTTTTTTTTAAGCATAAAACCATGCAAGGTTTTTTGGGTGAATCATATTAAGCCATGGTTCAAACATAACAGGCATCGATCATGATCATGATCTAGATTTCTGTTGGATGTTTGAGCGGGCTCTACACGGAATCTCACATCAATTGAGCCAAGAAAATTCTACAAAATTGACCTGTCAGATGGTCTCTCTTGATCATTTGGGATTGGGGGATTGGCATTGCGTTTCAATTATTTTCTAGCTCATCTTTTCACATAGCCTTACAGAAACCGCGTTCGCTCTCCAAAAAAAGAGTGGGGGCAACCAAGGTGAACATCGGTTCATACAACATGAACAGCTTCAGGCGTGATGTTATTCGGATCCTGGGGGATGCCCATCATGGCCTCATGGGTCACATCTGCTGGTCCGTCTGCGTCATGAAATCCATAGGATGGACGCCTCAGCGACGGACCCAGGAGCGAATGTGCACCAGGTCGTGCCCCCAGGGTGCCAACACGGGGAATTTAACCACTAAAACATCTAAAACCATTCACGTATCGGCGTATGTGTCATTCGGGGTGGGGTGGGAGGGGTGGGGCAATAACATTGATGTCAACTTGAACATACATGGAGCGTTATGCTGTGGGTAGGGGGTGGGGATGGGGTGGGGTGGGGTGAGGCAATAATGTTCATGTCAACTTGAACACGCTCTGGGTTCTTCTCGTAGATGCTACACTCTGGGGATCTTCTTGCATATACCCTCCGGTAAACTAACATAACTATGGAAAATCACCATTTTTAATCGGTAAATCAACTATAAACGTCCATTTTCAATAGCTATGTTAGTAACCAAAGGGTAAAGCTTTTACTTCTTCACCAAACATGATTCCCGAAGCCTCGGCAAGGCTATGGTGCACATGTGAATCACCACTTCGAGTGGCTGCAAGGGTGGAATCTCCACACTGTTTCCGCGACTCAGTCGATCCAGTTGCCCCCAAAGGGTCAACAAGTGCCGGTTGCTCGCCTGCGAATGGCTGGAAAATGCTCTACAAATGGAGGTTTCCTAAAATGGGGATCCTCGAAACCAGACAAATACTCAAATGCTCTAATTTTGATGAAATTTGGGATACCCCAATTTTAGGAAATCCATAAATGACTGTTTGGAAAGATTAAAAGGAACATCATCGAACTAAATTAATTTCGGGATTTTCCAGCTTGCCACAATATCGGAGGGTTGAGGTGGGTAGACCAGGAGCTACACAACACGTGGTACGTAGCAAGTGACTTGAGGATACTTGAGTTGCGTTTTTTTTCTCTAATGTAGGGTGTTATCATTTTACCAGTGCCTACGCCAGGCTTACATTTCGCATACGCGCGCACAATCTCAGCCTACGCGGAAGCTTGGGTGGGGATAGATAGGTGCCTACGCAGGCTTACGCGCGTGAGGTTTTATGCAACTTTGAGCTGAATTTGCCTACGCGGCCACAGTCTCAGCAACATTTTGGTATGATTTCACGATACCCTTTTACAATGCTGTCCACGATTGCATGAAAGACAATGAAGGCGAATATTTCTGTGATTATTCATCGGTTGTGACATGGTGAGAAGACACTAGGCAATGACCTCATCAAGCAATGGAGCACGTTGACTTGAGGAACATGAAGAGAACATGAAGAAACACAAAACATCAAGCAAACAAAAAGTAAAGCTGGAACTAACAACCGGAAATAGCAATGTTTTTTGTTTTCCCGCAAGTAAATAATGTTGTGTGGGTTTCTTCACTGCCAAAGGGAACAACCACTTCTTTCCTGTTCTTTGGGGCTCCAGTGGCTCCAGGAAATCATCCTGTCGTCATAGCATGTTTTCAACAGCCTCCTTCACTTCCGCGAGACTGCGTCCTAACTCCTCGCGCATGTCCACCACCAAGGATTGCACGGACCTTCACATCAAATCTCCAGTGCCACGGACCGCTTCGCCCTGGATATCTATGGATATCTATGGATATCTATGGGTGTCAACAAAGCGTGGTATACCCAAGAAGTCAATCTTTCAAATCCATAGTAAGAAATCCGGTATGAATAGTAGAGTCAGAAGAATCCAAAGTCCTTCTTAGCAATCCTTTCCATCTTTGCCTTCAAAGGACTCGTGTCACTCCACAACAAACACGTTCACCATCGATGCAACCGGCAAGAACGTGTGGTGGTGGTATCCTAGATAGTCCTATTTAAAATGGGTTTAATTTTTACAAGGACCCCTAGACAAAACCAATCGTCAATAATCAGCCACCATTTAATGGTGTTTCAATGGATTTTTCTTTTGGCCTTGATTTCTAGTGGATGTAGCCAATTTAAAACCATGATTCGATGGTTCATAATGGTCTATACAAAGGAATTTCTTTCCTCTGGATAAGGTTGGTTCATGATTTCTAAGGCTGAGAATGGTGGATAACGGTTTATATGTACACAATTATCAACCACTTATTGACTTCAATTATATAAACATATCTATTGTTGATGGTGGTTCTTCTCCATGCTTTGTATACATGTTATATATGATATATCTATATATATATATAATTATATATATAAATACAAATATATATATATATATAATATTATACAGTGTCTGAAAATGGGGTATGCCGCATGTCCAAAATTGCCACTTCCATCGGGAATCTGATGATAAATCAGTGGATTTTGGGGTACGTTATTATTCTCTATTTTCAGACAGACCATTACATGTGCTTGGTTTATTCGACCACAAACTTGGCCTGTAAATCTTTAGTTCCTATTCAGAATTTTAGGCTATTCGCAAGCTGGATCAATAGCAAACCATGTGGCTGCGACACCAACAACGCTGCGACGGTGTCACCTCAGCGGGATGGAGGAGACCGGAAGACGACTGTCATGTATTCCATGGTGGGATATCATGGCTGATCATGGCTGTATCATGAGATAATAATGGGATAATAGTGTGTCAATATGGAATTAACATGGGAAAATATGGGGTAGCAAGCAACCATCATGCCCACTTGCTTCATGTATGGTCAGCATAGTTCAGCCATGTTTTCCAATGCGTCAACGGCCAATGCGGGTAGTGGGGGTAACTTCTAAAATCAAATCAACACCGTAGCATCACAACAAAGCAAACAATAATACATTTGCTGTCCCAGTTTGACTTTTATCCATTTGTCACTTATTTTCAAATTTGGATAGCAGCGAACATCTTATGATCAATTTGAAATGTGTTTTTCTTATTGGCACAACCGGAATCCTTTCATAGTAGCAGTAGCAATGTTTCTGGTGCCCCGCACAACAAAATCAGTCAAGTCACTTTTGTTGATCTCTCCTCTAATCTTCAGCAATCCTTGCACCTGTGGCAGAAACTTTGGGTAATGATTGAAAATCGTTGACAAGAAAACGGTAGAAGGGTAGTGTTCATGACCAGCTAAAACTGTTTTTTTTTGAAACTGTTCATGGCCCATGCATTGCACCCCCAACTCGCCCGAGGGTTCTGCGGAGCCCGCACCAGTTCAGTGATTTGAAGCGTTCCTGAACCGTCCGCATCAATAATCTCCTTAGGCAGAACGTGGTCACAGCCCAGGACGTGAACGATAAGTTGGCTTATTTTTACTTAAGCTTCACTCTTGGGCAAAGATGGTGATGAAACAACTAAATCAATAACTCTAGTATACCAGTAGTACCCGCACGAAGCGGGGCGGAAGTTGCTTTAGGGAGATATACTATAAGACCGTTCTCCTCATCTATAGAACTTGCATGCGCCGTGCGCCAGTTAGGCCCGTGCGTGCGTGCTTTGTGCGAAGTTGTTGCAGTGTTGTTGTCCAAGAACATGACCTGCGCGACCCCGGTGCAATGCAACGGCAAGCGAAGACTTTCCTCACACTTCACACTGCACTCTTCACACTTCACACTCCACACTTCATCTCATCTCAGATCATGTGACCTCTTCTCACATCATCTCAGCTCTTCTCATCTCATCCCATCGCCTCTCACATGTCATCTCGGAAAGTTCTTCTCAACTGTTTTCATCTCATCCGAGCGCTGATCAACCTTTCTCATCTCCTCGAATTTGTTCTCAACTCATCGTAGCTGTTCTGCACGCCAGAAAGCTCTTACTGTCAGCCTTGAGACACAGATGCATGTATGGGGTTGTTCAACTTTGTATGGGACATTCGCCGTCCTCCCTTCATTGTGGTGGAATTTCCTTGACACTTGACTGAGTTTTTTTGGAGAGACATCTTCGAGTCACTTGATGTTGCAAGGGGGGGCTCAAGTGACTCTGGTAGCGGCTTATCCCAATGAATTCTTCGATGTCACGATCTTGCTTTAGTTGTCGAAGGTTGCTTCAAACACCATGAGGTGGCACCAACTTTCATCACATGTAGTCAGATAGGTGGCAAGACAGCCAACAGGTTACTTCTACAGTAAAACCGACTCTACTATGACGTGTCGTTAGATCACAGGCTTTGAGCAGGGGCTCTGACACAAGCTCATTGCTCCTCATTGACCATGGAGGCTGCAGCTGACACTCTTTCAAAACAGCTCGCCGCTGAAACACAGAAACGGCAGAGAGCTGAAATGCTATGCCAGCAAGCATTGTTTCAGAAAGCGAAGGGGCTCGCAGTCGAAAAGGAGGCGCGCAAGGCTTCCGAGGACTTGTCTGCGAGCTTGCAAGAGCAATTGAATTGAGCGCCATGGCAAGGCAATGTGAGGAGCTGCTTGTTGAAAAAGAGAACCACAAAGCTTGTGATCAGGTTGCACTGTTGCACGGTTGCAAGATATGCTAGAGACCTTGTTGGCGGAAAAGGACCAGTTAGAAGCAGAGTTTCAGAAGTTGAAACGTGTGGACCTCGCCGCTGAAATACAGAAACGGCAGAGAGCTGAAATGCTATGCCAGCAAACCTTGTTTCTGAAAGCGAAGGAGCTCGCAGTCGAAAAGGAGGCGCGGAAGGCTTCCGAGGACCTCTCTCCGAGCTTGCAAGAGCAATTGAATTGAGCGCCATGGCAAGGAAATGTGAGGAGCTGCTTCTTGAAAAAGAAAAACGCAAGAGCGCCGAAGAACTCTGTGCAACTTTGAGAGGGCAGCAGTTGGCCACGCTGTTCCGAACAACTCAAAAGTTGGCTGCTGAGAAAGCGTTGCGCAAAGCCGCTGAGGATCAAGTGGCAATCCTGCAAGATGTGTTGGAGACCGTGACCGTTGAGAAGGACGAGCTGCAAGCGCAACTGCAGACGCAGAACAGCGGTTCTGTTCTCAGACGTGGTGTGACATGGCAATATAACTTGGACGGTCACTGGGAAGAGTTCGCGGTTGAGGCGAATGAACAAATGCTCCAGGCATACCTCGACTACAGTATGTCAGAGAGATTCCTGGCACCCAATTTGTAACGATCAGCTCAGGTGGAGCGGAGCGTCAGGTGGATTTCGAATTGATGCAGCAGAAGCACCTAAGGACTGGAAAGACTCGCTGCATCCGTGCTTTGCCTGGTGCTCCTCCCAATTGGGAGTCTTCCAAGAAAAAATACTGCTGGGGCACTTTTCACCAACCATTCCCATACGATTCACAACTCACAGCTGCAAAAGACAATAGTATTACGCATGCAGCCGCGGAACAAAAAATAATAATATCACAGGCGCCAAAATTGAAAAATCTAGTGACAAATCACTGACGCAGCCTTGATGCAGCCACTCCAATACTATTTACGAGATCCAGCTGCAAAAGACAATAATAGTATTACGCATGCAGCAGCGGCACCAAGCAACCGTGACGCAACCATTACAATACGATCTGCAGGGACTGAGTTGCAAAACACAAAAGAACTACGCGCAACGGCGTCGGCAATTGCAGCTCCAAAACCGGATCTCGACGCCAAAGCGAAAAAAGACGATTTTGCAGCACTTTTTAAAAGAACTTTTAAAAGGAAAATTACTAGAGCCAAAATTGAGAGAATCTGCTGACAAATCAGTGTCGCAGCCTTGATGCAGCCACTCCAATACTATTTACGAGATCCAGCTGAAAGAGAGAATAATATTACGCAATCAGCCGCGGCGCCAAGCAACCTTGACGCAGCCATTACAATGTGTTTTGCAGCATCACGCCGCAAACCTGCGCGTATCTACGCACGTGGCAACACCAGATGACAACAATCATGCAGCCACTCCAATGCGATCTGCAAATTTTGGTTCAAGAAACGCATAGAACTACGCACACAGGAACAACCACTCGTTGCAGAACACAGGCGAGGAACCAATTCGCTCATGAAACGACCGCAGCCGCAACCGCCGCACACACGAGGAAGGTTTCGTGCTCCGGCTTCCTCCCCAACACAAGCCCCATGCAACATTCATGCAGCCATCAACATCACAATGCGTTTTGCAGCATCACGTGGCTAACCCGCATGTATCTACGCACATGGCAACACCAGATGACAACAATCATACAGCCATTAGACGAGTGTATTGTTATGTGATGTCAAGTCTCATCTCACACCACCCTTCATTGAGTGTATTCTTATGTGATGTAAAGTCTCACACCACCCTTCATCAGGTAAAAGTCATCCGTAACTCGGAAGATTGCTTCCCAACTTCCTTTGACTATATAGTTCCTATATAATATGCTACAGATGGGTGCTAACAACGGTTTTCACATATGTTCACATCAACCAGCATTTCACGTAGCAACGCGGATGAGATTCGAAGAGGTTGGCTCGATCAGGTGGCAGATCCAGATCATCCATCAATACCTGCACCTGTCGGTCCTTCACTCGGAGGCATGACGTCGTGACAGATGGATGGTGGTTCCAATTCTCGGCGAAGTTGGTTGAAATAAGTGGGTCAAATGCTGGCTTTATGGAAGATACATCCATAGTTTTATGGGATAAAAATGAGTAAAATCAACCAACAAACATCACTGGGGGCAGGGGCACCACGGTGTGACGATGGGTGGCTCCAAGGTGTCTATCCCTTCAGTACCCTGATAAACGTACCAAAAAGAAACATAATAAAGTATATGTAGAGATGTTCATCCAGCTTGCTTACTGTCCTTTGCAATAGCTATGGTTATATATATATATATATATATATGTGTATACGCATTTATTATATATATATATATATTATTATATATAAATATGTATATGACTGTATATGTATATCTATTCGTACCGATGTACATATTTATATGTATTATGTAATATCTATACATGTTCAATAATATAAGTTCTCCGTGAACATTCAAACAGGCACCACGTGCCGCAGCTCCGTGTCCTGAATCACTAAGAGAAACAGATCCTTGTTGATGGCAATCCCTTCATGGACATCATCATCAGTAAAGAGTGCCCCCTCCGGGCTGATATCCAAACCTGCAACGGCACTGCATACAAACCCACAATCCCACATTGTATAGATTCCAGATCGAACTCATCGAATATGATGAATCAACATACTGTAAATGTTGCATATATATAATATTACAATTAATCACATACAATTATATACATATATATATACACGTATTCAAGCTTCCGTTTGACCAATAAACAATAGTCTTTACTCCAACACTTTGGTGCTGTATCTAGCGTCGAAACCTGGCAATGGAAGGTTCCCACTGTAAGCGTTCCATGCCGAATCATGATCCTCAGAGAGGGGATTGCATTCTAGTAACATCATGTAACATCTCTGAATACCAACACAAAGAACGTGTAAATGCATGGATCCTGTTTTGATGAGCAAAACATCTGTAAATGATTGTAAATGTGTTTCTATGATATTCTATGAAAAGATGAGCTGATCTGCAGTTTTAATGCCAAAGTTATGGACTTTGAAGAAATCGCGACATCCAAACTTCAGGATGGCTCGTCAACGCGTTGACAGAAGGTGGCCTGACATCGCCTGAAAATCAGTCAGATGTTCAGATGTTCATCATACTTGGGCTACAGGACCACATGTGTTTGTCCAGGTTTCTCGTTAAATCACCTCCAGACATCATGCCGCATGATGAGAAAAAAAAACACAGAAAACAGCGTACCACCAGCACCAAGCGACGCGAGATAGAGGAACTCGTTTCCTGAGATGATCAGCATCCCGCTGGATGGAACAAATACAACGGGCAGGACGCCTAAGATTGCCTATGATGCGAAGTATTGGGGGTCCCCAAATAGATGAGAACAGGATGTTGTTGTTTTTTCTCTTGTTGGAATGATTCTTATATATACTTTTTGTCAAATATTATTCATACAGCCAAGGACTCGCAAGACCATACTCCTTTTCAAAACCCACGGCCGGCGGCAATGAATTTCTTCGCGTGTCAATGGATAATCCCCAATTTCCTGGGTAAATTATGATCATAATATTTCACTAACCTGAAACTTGCGGCCATTTGGGAATGATTCCTGTGAGGTCCCAGGGAGGTCACTATCATATTAATATATAATGATATATCTATTCATGCTTGTGATTTCCATCCGTTTTCTAATGGCATCTTGCCACTTTTTGTTTTTTCCCCACCTGCCAGGTGAGGGTTGTTAGATTTTATCTAAGTTGCCTTCTCCTCCTCCTCCTCCTCTCCTCCTCCTCTCCTCCTCCTCTCGTTGTCCTCCTCCTCTCGTTGTCCTCCTCCTCTCGTTGTCCTCCTCGTCTCGTTGTCCTCCTCGTCCTCCTGCTCAACTGCGACTCGCGATCCACAGTGTTCGCTGCCGGACCTCAACCACGACCACCCACGCCCAGTGTTCCCTGCCGGACCTCAACCACGACCATCCACGCCCAGTGTTCCCTGCCGGACCTCAACCACGGCCATCCACGCCCAGTGGTCCCTGCCGGACCTCAACCACGGCCATCCACGCCCAGTGTTCCCTGCCGGACCTCAACCGCGAGTATCCATGCCAAGTGTTCCCTGCCGGACCTCATGTAGGAAGATATGGGACAAAGAATGTGCAGAAGAAAGTTACAAAGATAGAATGCCAGAAGATTTACCGGATAGAATGCCAGAAGATATGCCAGATAGAATGCCAGAAGGTATGCCAGATAGAATGTCAGATAGAATGAATGCCACAAGATATGCCAGATAGAATGCCAGAAGATATGCCAGAAGATATGCCAGATAGAATGCCAGAAGATATGTCAGATAGAATGCCAGAAGATATGCCAGATAGAATGCCAGAAGATATGCCAGATAGAATGCCAGAAGATATGCTAGAACATATGCCAGAAGATATGCCTGATAGAATGCCAGAAGATATGTCAGATAGAATGCCAGAAGATTTGCGAGTAACAAAATGTATAAATGTCATGGTGGGGATCGCACGAAGTAAAGTAATTCCCCACCTGCCAGGTGAGGGTTGTTAGATTTTATGTCAGTTGCCTCCTCCTTCTCCTCCGCCTCCTCCTGCCTCGTCCTCCTCTCCTCCTCCTCCTCGTCCTCCTTGTCATCCTTGTCGTCCTTGTCGTCCTCGTCGTCCTCGTCGTCCTGGCTCAACTGCGACCCGCGATCCACAGTGTTCTCTGCCGGACCTCAACCACGACCACCCACGCCCAGTGTTCCCTGCCGGACCTCAACCACGACCATCCACGCCCAGTGTTCCCTGCCGGACCTCAACCACGACCATCCACGCCCAGTGTTCCCTGCCGGACCTCAACCACGACCATCCACGCCCAGTGTTCCCTGCCGGACCTCAACCACGACCATCCACGCCCAGTGTTCCCTGCCGGACCTCAACCGCGAGTATCCACGCCAAGTGTTCCCTGCCGGACCTCATGTAGGAAGATATGGGACAAAGAATGTGCAGAAGAAAGTTAGAAGATAGAATGCCAGAAGATTTGCCAGATAATATGCCAGAAGATATGCCAGATAGAATGCCAGAAGATATACCAGATAGAATGCCAGAAGATATGCCAGAACATATGCCGGAAGATATGCTAGATAGAATGCCAGATAGAATGCCAGAAGATATGTCATAATATATGCCAGAAGATATGCCAGATAGAATGCCAGAAAATATGCCAGATGCAATGTCAGATAGAATGCCAGAAGATTTGCCAGATAGAATGCCAGAAGATACGCCAGAACATATGCCAGAAGATATGCCAGATAGAATGCCAAAAGATATGTCAGATAGAATGCCAGAAGATTTGCCAGTAAGAAAATGTATAAATGTCATGGTGGGGATCACACGAAGTAAAGTAATTGTTTTTTTTTCGAACCGAACAGACGGCGTAAGGCGTTTCCATCCAAGGCGCGTCGAACTCTTGAAAGAGACGATACGCAGCGGCGAAACGCTTCCTCGCAGGGGAAACTCTGGGATGTCATGCTGTCACACAAAAGGAACGACACTGGAGGGGATTTCTTGGTGTTTCTTGCGAATCCAAATAGCAACTTAAGAATTATTAAGATAAAGGAATTTGCAAAGGCAATTACGCCGTACATTCACCTTCTATAGCAATTTGTGCAGCTCATGAATCCTATTGCAGCTCATCCGGCTGAGAAATCTCCCAACTAAATGGAGGTTTGAACGAAAAAAACATCTGCAAATGGGACATTGTCATTTGCCATGTTTGATTACTGGACAGTACTGGACAGTCTCGGAGTTTAGTGGATTATAAGTTGATATTATCGATGCCAAATGGCCTTCATCGGGGCCTTTCCCTAGTATACATGTGTGATTTGATGTGTCATCGCAATTTGCAGATCATTGACCAACATTTGCTTGATTTGTGGTTAGAAATAGGGTACCTCAAATTTTGTATGATCATAATTGTGTAGTTGTCCTTTTTAAATCGCACACATGTATTGGATATCCATATCCCCATACCCACCATTGGACAGACCCATAGACCCAGTTTACTCACCCTTACAGTAATTCTGCTTGCCACAAGAATGATCCCCCCAGTCACACATTCGTATAATTCCCCCTCGAACTATATATATATATATAGATGCCATGAATTCTAAATAGTCCTATGACTAGTATAGTCATATTGACCAACCTACCATACTTCCCTATCGTCAATAATTTCTCTTCTTAGCGTACGGTAACCCACAAAAGAGATACAGAAAAAGAACATCCCAGTCCCACTTAAATAGTCATCACTCACATCCTACAATCTCTGGGGGTTACTAGCGGTTGCTACATGTTATCTTCTGTAATCACCAAAAAGAAATATAGAAACAGAACATCCCAGTCCCACTTAAATAGTCACTTACATCCTACAATCTCTGAGGCTTACTAACGGTTACTACATCTTATCTTCACCAACCTTCCCCTCATCCCACAGTCTCAGCGTCAAGAGCTCCCGCGTGACCCGTGCGATGCGAATGGACTCCCGCGCCCATTGCTCCGCGGTCACGGCTTCATTCTCCTTGGCCGCTTTCATGGTGATCTCCACCTTTGGACGGCGACTGAACGGTCACCGAAACATCAAATCGTTGGGCGAACGGGCAACGCTTCGTTGTTCTTTGATTTCGGAATGGCTAAGAAGACAGCAGAATAAGCTAGCTTTGCGAGCCCAAAGTAAGACATTATGAATGGGGGAACTTAAAGTACAAACACACATAGAGATGTTTGAGAATGACAACTATGATGTTCATATCACCAACGGAATTTAATTTAGCATATTTAAGCAATTAACATGTGTTTTTGTTGTGAAGTTTCCTGATATCTCGTTCTGATTGTAAACATACCAAATATTTGGCCTTAATGAGTTCAGGTTGACGGTACTGCTTTTAACGGCACCCTGACCTCGAACACCAGGTAGGATACAAGGAGGTTGCATGATGTTATAGATTCTAGATTCTAGATGGCTTTACCAATGTGGAGGGGTTTAATGTATGCAGTTTAAGCAACAAAGCTATACGATGCTTTAACGATTTCACACCAGGTAAGCTGTGGTGACACGAAATGGTCACAAGGAAGATGGATCCCAGATCGTTTTAAACAAAATCTCTGTAAGGACCCTACAAACCCCAAACATCCCAAACATACTAAATTATTATATAATCATCATCACCACGAATGGGGTGTTTCTTGCGACACCAACTAAGTTGTTTTCGACAAGATGACAAGGGTGAAATCAAATGACAGGTACGATTCAAGGATGTCTATGAATCTTGGCAAGCGAGATGGGGAGTCAACTTGCAAACATTTTTGGCGAATCTACCAACATTTGGTGCACAATTAAAAAAATGAAGGACACCCCATTTGGTGCATGGTAATACAGACAATGTTTTGTTGAATGTATGCTTTTCCGCAAACTATTCAAATTTCCGAGAAGTGGCCCCGGACTCAATGGCAACAAAGGATCTCAGCAACAAAAAGTTGGGGCTTATTCAACTTAAATATTGTATTGTAATTCCCACCAATTGCGAGACATAACGAACCCCAAAAACGGCAGAGACACGTAAATCCCTAGAAACACGATGTTGTGTTTGCTGCTGCGTTGATATGCGCGTTCCAAACAAGAAACTTTATCCGTTACCAATGCAACATCATGATTCATATCAACCTACTAAAACTGGGGTTGAAATATTTACCACCCATCCAATTATGGTAATTAAGTGGGTATAGTTTATGGCAATGGGTTTACCACACACAGCGAGCGACGAGCGACTGATCAAAATGTTTTGTTTTTCCCCTTCAAACCAAACCACCCTCGCTAAGAACTGTTTCAAATTCAGCGGCTTTCACACTAAACACTTTAGTAAACAAAATTTGAAACAGTTTTCACAACAAATAATACTTTACATTTTACACTTACAGAAGACATATTTACACTAACAACGATCTTCAATTGTTTTCACAAAACAGTTCTTGCACCAACCTTTTGTGTTTACGTTTGACACAATGTGCAACAGTTTCTTACTACATCTTGACACTAGCAGCAACCTCCTGCACCAAACGGCTGCGTTTTGCACCAACAGCGTTTTGATGCGTTTTGCAACTGTCCAGTGGTTCAGAGCTAAGGAACTATGGTCATCCATATTCCCAGTAAATTCCGTATCAGATGTGGAACCAAGGACATACTAAGAGTTTCGCAACCACACGATCTGTAATAAAACAAGAGACTGTTTTTAACAAATTTGATTTCTTGGTTTGTGGATGTAGTAAATCCATTTAACCCCTAGGCGCTAAAACATTTTATATATGGCAACATCCAACCACTTAGACAGCAAAAAAATCTACACTGGAAACCCCTTGCGTCAAACAGCGTTTACATCAACAACCTTTACGACAAACAAAAACATAAAACATCCGTTTGCCCGGCAAACCTTTTGCACCAACCCAATCTTACACCAAAAGGCATCTGCAACCATATTTCTGCAACAAACCCAAAACTCGCAGAAACTAACTCGGACAAAAGAATCGATGACCACCATCCTTGTATCAAATGTCAAAACTGGGAGCTCAAAAACACACCTGCAAAGACCAAACGAATTTGATGGATTTAGTGCCCTTCCAAAACGCGCAAGTCACTAGCAGTCACTAGCATCTTCCAAAATGCATACACTGCCAGGATGACGTTGAAGATACCCATTGCCACAAGCATATAGCTGGCCACATATGCCAAACCAAAAAGCAAACCATACCTGGGCGCATTGCCATTGAACGGGAACTCATGGGATTTCACGTGCACACACATATGTATATATATATATATATGTGTGTTATATGTATTTATATGTATGTATAATATATATATATATATATATAAAATGTATATATATATATTAAATACACTAGTATATGACATTCTGTAACTACAAACAAAAAACGAAACTAGAACAACATTACGTCACCCCAAAAACTTGTGGTCCCCCTTGATTGATCAACCGGGGTGGAATCCCCCAATTAATCAACCACCACACAGGAAATCCCGTGTATTTCTTTTCTCACATGAAGTCACATGCTTTGAATACCACTCCTGTCAAGTCTCACGCAGAGCTTTGACTCTGACAAGCACTTGACAGAGATTCCCCCATAAGGTTCTGTGGGCTCAACGCAAGCTATAATCATACGAGTTGAGTAATTAATATTATCTAATACTTTGTTGGATTGGCACCAGCCTGCTCAGTCTCGCAGTCTTGGTTCAGATCAAATTTCTGGCCAAATATCCAAAACGAAACGGCTTCCCAAATGGTCAAATTCTTGACTAAAATCCATTTAAACACATTTAAAAACTATCACTTTGAAAAGCCCCGAAAGGGTACCCCTCCTTAGCCCATGTCCCACCCAAATAATAGGTAGGGTTTCCCCTAATTAATCAACCCGCTTGGCCCCCTTTAGATTTCTTTTTGGTTTGAAAAGAAAATCAATTGAACCTAGGTTAATATCAATTCAAATCCTTACTAATCTTCAGACTTCTTCTAGGTTAAAAAAAGGAACATCAATTAAAAGTAGATTGATAGCAATTGAAATCTAGATTTCTTCTAGGTTTAAAAGGATAATCAAGTGAAAGTAGATTGATATCAATTGAAATGCTGAATATTCTTTAGATTTCTTCTAGGTTTCAAAAAGGAACATCAATTGAAAGTCGATTGATATCAATTAAAATCCTTACTAATCTTTAGATTTCTTTTAGGTCTATTATTATAACCCCGGAATCCCTCTAGGATGCCAAAATTCAGGAACTATTGTTTTAACGATTTTAATATGGTTTGATACGATTGGAAAATATGATTTCGATATGGTTTTGTTATGTTTTTGATATGGTTTGGGTTATGGTTTGGGTTATGGTTTTGGAATGTTTTGGATGTGATTTTAATATGGTTTTGATACGGTTTCAGAACGGAGCGCCTTATCAGGGTTCCCGACGGGTTGGCTTCAAGAAAGGAAGCAGAAACAGCCCCGGGACAGCCTTTTGGTCGATTTCTCGAGGGTTTCTGTGGCTTTGATATGATTTTGATATGGTCTTGATACGGTTTTGATACGATTTTGATACGATCTTGATATGGTTTTGATACGGTTTTGAATGTGGTTCCGATGGGTTGGCTTCAAACCACAATTTTGACCCACATCAAGAACCATAACTGAAACCATATCAAGATCGTCTCTGAAACCGTATCAACATCATAACTGCAAAACCAAGCCAGAAACAATTCATAACAACAAATCATATCTGAAGCGTATCAAAATCAATTAAAAAAATGAAAAACCTTCATCCTAGAGACTTCGGATGTTATAAGTGAAAATATGTGAAACATGGTCATGTATAGCGTGTGGCCATGTGACATTCAACCAGACTCAGTGTGGACATTTCCGATACTTTGGGCACAAGCCCCCTCTTAGCACATCGTGAAAACATAAGAAGGTTGACATGGTGCTGCCACCTGGGAACCGAAGTTAAGGTTCTCAGGTGGTAGCGGAGCTGCTTGAGAGCTCACAGACCAGGTCGTGGGCTACATAGGCAGTGGTGAGCCGCTTGATTCATGCTGGGCGCTGCGGGTTCAAAAGATGATGATGGGACGAAGAAACAGTTTCTAGGTGTCTTTGATGGTAGTAATGCTGGAGACTATCGCCGTTGGCGAAGGAGGGCAGAGCTATATCTTCGAGGATTAGCAACGACTGTTCCAGAGAAGAAGTGGGGAGCTCGACTTCTTGAGCACCTATCAGGCGAGGCAGAGGAACTCATGGGACACCTACCCTTAGAAAAGATCATCGATTATGAAGGCTACAAGAATGTGCTGGCACTTCTAGATGAGAAGTACAAGGAGTTGGAGGGCCATGAGCTGCAGCGAGTACTCAAAGAGTACTTCTATGAGATCACCATCAAACCCCAAGAGACCTACAGGAACTTCACGGGGCTCGAGACAAGTTACCGTGCCCTTGTTCGACATGGAGTTCAACTTCCAGATGAGGTTCGGGGTTGGTTTTTGATGAGAAAACTGTCATTGGATGCAACTGTGGAAGCCATGGTGTTGACATCCAGTGGTGGATCCATCAAGTATGACCAGGTGGTGAAGGCGATCAAAAGTGTGTTTCCCTATGGCAAAAGTGGTACCGGTACCAAACAGTCCAAGGAGGTTTTCATGGCAGATGATCCTGAACAAGGAGAAGGACATGATGAAGGACCAGAAGAAGTCATGGAGGTCATTGCCAGTGAACTTCAAGAGGCTGATGACATGAAAGCGAAGATGCACTCGAGGCATATGAGGCTTATGTCAATGTTCGACAGAAGATGCGAGAAAAGAAGACCGCGAGAGGTTACAAGATGTTTGACAAGGAGAAGAAACAAACATGGTCCCTTCAAGAAACTATGAAAGGGAAGATCGAGATGTTGAAACAAAAGACCAAGTGTCACATCTGCCGAAGGCAAGGTCATTGGAAGAAGGAGTGTCCAATGAGGAAAGGAGCCACTGACAAGGAAACCGCGACCAAGACCAAGGAGGTGCACATCGTCGACGATGATGAAGATGATGAGTACTTGGATGCCTATATCTTGGAGGGCATAAAGCAGGAAGAGCCTCCAGGAAACCATCATCAAAAGACAGGACAAGTGAAAATCGAGGAGAAGGAAGAGCGCCAGCTTCGCCAAAAGAAGGACTACTGGACTTTGACAGATGATGGGAAGTTTGTCATTCGGCATCACGTGAGATCACGGAAATGCCTGTTCACACCTCATCAAGTCCAAGGGATGCCAGTGGATGTGACATCATTGACTGGGAAAAGGATCACTGAGGTGAAGGGCTTCGATGAGAGCATCGAGGACAACTACAAGACTAGTCCAGAGCCTCACCGCAATCTGGGAAAGCCATGGATTGGTTCAACCAGTTTTGAGATCACGGGCCGTGAGGCGGCTCCAATGGAGAACTGCGACCAGGTGGCAGTCACCATGAGCCATGATGAGTTAGACGGTGAGATGATCGAAGCTTTTGAGGCTGAAGTTCTGAGAGGGGGCGTAGCCGAACTTAGTGGGCATTTTGCCCCAAAGCATGCCAGTTTGTCAGAGCATGCCGTACCAGACACCGCCTGCCGCAAGACTCCCGTGGGTGAGTATACGCTTCATGGGTTGGAGTCGGAGTGCATTCTCAGGTCTAGAGGTTTGAAAGTTTTGAGGCATGGAGAGGTCAATGATTTTAAGTTTGGAAATGCCGGCACGTTGAGGTCGCATGAAGTAGCTCAGATTCCGATTTCATTAGGAGATAGGAGACTGGTAGTTCAAGCTGCTGTGTTGCCGGGAACCGGCAGCAAGACACCATTTCTTCTTTCCAAAGAGTCGTTGAAACATCTGGGTTGTGTTCTTGATACCGAAAATGATGTTGTTAGTTTCAAAAAGTTGAAACAGAGAATACAGATGGGAAGAACCGAGAAGGGCCACTATGCTATTCCAATCCTTGCCCGAAGGAACGAATGGCATCAACACCGAAGATCGCCTGAATCTCAAGAAACTAGTTCTGCTGAAGGCCCAATTGTCCTTCAGGAGTGCCATGTCGCGTACGGCATTGACGATGTCACCGCTGGCAAGGCAGCTGGCCGAGAGCTTGGAGTTCGACAGAACAGAGAATGGCTTTGTGGACAAGGAGGAGCTGGACCAATGGAGCGATCACGAGACAGACGAACCACAGGTGCCAGTGTCAGGAAGAACCAAGTCGACGTCGGGAAGTATGCCCGGATGACGGAGATGACAATGGGAAAGGCCTATGTCACCGACAAGAAGTACGTCAAGTGGGTCCGTCACAACATCAAGACCGAAGGGTCCACCCCAGGCATGAGGAAGTTTCGACTGTACGTCGAATTGAGGGATCAAACAAAGAGCGAGAGGATCCATGGACCTATGGGCCTGGGAATGACTGGGACTCAGATGCCAGTCCCAGCAATGCCGAAGAGAATGGCCAAGAGCAAGGCAGCACCATCGGATCCCCGAGCACACCAGGGGTACATGACCCCACCGAGCGTGAACCATCGCCGGCCTCGAGAAGGAGAAGGTTGGGGAGCAGAGATGCCAGAGAATTTAATGGACACGCAGGAGTGGGAGCAGATCACAGAGGATCCCGACGCAACCGACGAGCTGCAGGGAGAGTGGATTTTGATGATTAGCGAGAGCCACCACGATCCCACCAAGGTGAACCAGATGAATCAGGTGCTTCAAGTGATGGGCATCAGGAAGGCAGTGGAGATGTTCAAGGCGATCGACCACTTCGACTGAGTGATGCTGAGATAGAGACTTTGATGAAAGGCCTAGATGAGATGACTGTAGGAAAGTCAGCGGAATTAGATGTGATGATTATGAATCTAGGAGAGGAATTCGAAATAGATAAGTCTCTTAGCGTTGCTGAAGTGTTTTCCATGCCACGTGTGACTGCAGCAGCAGAGAAACTTGGTTTGAAGAGTTGTGGCAGCTATGACATTTTGTCAGGACAAGACTTGATGTGTCCGATGACCAGGAAAAAGGTGCGCGAGCGGCTGCAAACGTTGAAACCGAAACTTCTTGTCATTTGCCCCCCGTGTGGACCGTTTTCACCTCTTCAAAATCTCAACAAACATGTGAACATGAAAGAATGGTTGAAGAAAAGATACCAAGGAAGGATCTTGTTGAGATATGGTATGGACTTGTTGGAGGATCAAATCAAGAGAGGTGACATAGGACTGTTTGAGCACCCTAAAAACGCCAAGTCATGGGAAGATCGACACGTCATAAGACTTAGGAAACTGGAGAACATGCATGAGGTGGTCGTGGATCAATGTCGTTTTGGGTTGAAAGATCGGGTGAGCAAAAAGTTTCATAAAAAGGAAACTAGGATCATGGTAAACAGTGAGTGCATGGCTAGGAGACTGAATAAGCGATGTCATGGCTTGCATGAACATGAACATGTCATGGGGATGGTCAAGCTGGACGGGAAGTGGCAAAGTAGATCTCGGGATCTCGGTTAGCTCAGGAGTATCCCAAGGGTTTAGTTCATGCCATGATTGCGGGGTTTATGGAGGATCAACATGCAAGGAAAAGAAGTCATGCGGTTCACTGTGTTTTGACGGTTGAAGGGTTGAATACTCAAGATGAGAAAAAGATGGCGTCCATTGTTCGAAGATGCCATGAAAGTCTAGGTCACCCTTCTCAAGCGAAGTTCTTGTCAATGTTGAAGGCCGCACGGGCCAATGAAAAGTGTCTTCAGATCGCAAAGGGGTTGGTGTGTAGCACTTGTGAAGCTAGTCAGAAACCGAAGAGCCATCCCGTGTCACGTGCTGTCAGCGCCAAGAATTTCAATGACCAAGTTTGTGTTGATACTTTTGAAATTGAACTGCCATGGCGTAAAGTGAAAATGTTGAATATCGTCGATGCTGCGTCTAGGTATCAGATATGTGTACCGTTGTGGAAGGGGATTGAAGTCAAACACACACACGCAAGGCATACCGACGGTGCTGGAAGAGGATCTTTGGCCCACCACGTCGAATGATCAGTGATGGAGGACCCGAGTTCAGTGAGGACTGGACTGATGCACTCTCACGTGATGGGACTCATCATGAGGTGACGGCGGCATGGGCTCCATGGCAGAATGGATTGTGTGAACGTGCGGGAGGTAGTTGGAAACATGCATGGGAGAAACTTGTGTATGAACTTAGTCCCGAGACAAAAGGTGAAGCTGAAGAGATCATGGATCAAGTCACCATGGCACATAACACCCCAGTGAGAGTCGAAGGACACTCACCTGCCCAAATTCTGATGGGACAGGATGTAAGAGTGCCAGGACTCGAAGGGAGTGAGCCATGTGATCATGTTGAATCGGGAATCCAAGAAGGTGAGGACATATTCACACGAGCCATGAACATACGTAAAATAGCACGTAGGGCCATGATTGAAGCGACCGATGAAGACCGTGTCAGGCGGGCTGCCCTTCACAGGACACGCCCTGTCAGAGGTCCATATGAGCCTGGGGAGTTGATCATGCTGTGGCGGAAAGGAAAAGGTGAAAAGAAAGCACATTGGCATGGACGTCATATAGGTGTTCATCATGGTAAGGTGTTCGTTGCGTATGATGCAGAGATCTATCGGTGTGCCCCCGAACAAGTGCGAAAAGTTCAGCGCGATGTCCAGCATTTGACTCAATGGCTTCCCGACAACATGAGGAAGTGGAAGGACACCATTCGCCAACGGGGTGCCGGTAATGTTGTTGAGCTTGACATGAAAGCGAAACCAAGCGACGATCATGACATGGAAGTGGATGAAGATGGTGATAATCAACATGATCATAATCATGAGTTGAGGATTGTTGGTCAAGGTGGAGGACATGGTACCATGAACACGGCAGGTCATGAAGGTAACAAGCATACTCATGAACATGAACAAGATGGTAATGCTTCCATAAATATGAGTCAAGAGGATAGCTGCAACACACGAGAAAACGAAGAGAGTGATGGCTAGGAGCCAAGTTTTGCCGAGACAGGCGCAGCGAACAGTGAGAGAGATGGAGCGAGGGAGATGGAGCGAGGGAGATGGAGCAAACAAACGAAAATGATGCACAACATCAAGCAATGGAGCAAGACGGCAATGACAGTCAAAGACCAAATGAAACAAACGCAAACGTTCAGAGACCAAACGAAACAAACGCAAACGCTCAAAACATGCAGAATGCAAGCGTAGCCGTGAGTAGTTATGGACCCGTGAGGACGGCTCCCCTGACTCGTGCGTTAAGGCGTAGTTTGGATGACCTGGACTTTGGACACGTTCGACTCAGCCAACCCCAGGATGAATCCCTGGTTGTGAACATGAAGGATGATGAGGAAAGACCAGGAGCGGAGGAAGTCTATGTCATGACTGCGAAAAAGATGAGCAGGAAGGAGATCAGCGCGAAAGGTCTAAGTAAAGAAAGGTTACAGGAACTCGAGGTGGCGTGCAGGAAGGAATGGACCAAGATGGAGACGTCACAGGCTGTCAAGGTTCATCGAGGTGAAGAGGCGCGTAAGATGATTTACAGGGTTGGGACGGACCGCGTGCTGGACTCTAGGTATGTGTATACCACTGGTGATGGACTGCCAACTGGACCTCTTAAGGCGCGATGGTGCATTAGAGGATATTTGGACCCTGACTTAATGGACTTAGAGACCGCTTCCCCCACACTGTCATCTGAAGCCTTTGCCGCCGTGACTGAGTTGATAGCGTCGTTTCGTTGGAGAATGTCTATCGCTGACATTGAAGCATGCGTTTCTTCGGGGTGGGAGCATATCACGATCAAAAGGGGTTGTTCTGGTTCGGGTTCCTAAAGATGGGATTCCTGGTTTGTCTAAGGATGATGTCATTGAGTTGATTAAACCTGTCTATGGGTTAGCTGATGCGCCTAGGCTGTGGTGGAAATCATTGACTCAAACGCTGACTAATCTTGGAATGACCCAGTCCCGGCTTGATGGTTGTGTGTTTTACAAACGAAACGACGACAAAACGCTGGCCGGAGTCGTCGCTTTCCATGTTGACGATTTAATCATTGGGGGCAATCAATGGTTCTATGATGGGGTGTTCAAAAAGCTCACTGAAACCTATCCTTTCAAGCATATTAAATTTGATGAGGGTGAATTTCTGGGAAAACAAATCAAACAGCTGAGCGATGGAACGCTTGTGATTCAACAAAAGGAGTATGCTGAAAGTATTTGCAGCATTGCAATTTCAAAGGAGAGACGGAAAGAGAGAACTGCCGAAACGACAGACATGGAGACAGGACAGATGAGAGCAGTCTAGGAGAAGTGAACTGGTTAGTGACTGGGACAAGACCGGACCTTGCTGCTGCATGCTCACTGATGCAACAAAGAGTCACACGTTCATGTGTTCAAGATCTGATAGATTTAAACAAAGTGGTTTCGATGGTTCGGGATTTTTCTGGTGTTGAGATTCATGTTGTTCCTATTGATGTGAATAATCTTGAGTTTGTTGCGTGGTCTGATGCGAGTTTTGCCAATGCTGAAGAATATAAATCACAAGGAGGATATCTGATATGCGCGACTGAACGAGGTTTGAGGCTCAATCAATGGGCCAGGCTGTCTCCCTTGAGATGGCGGTCGTTTAAACAAGAACGGCAAGTCGCGTCTACTTTGGGCGCTGAGCTGTTGACCTTGTCAAGAACTATTGCTGAGACCAAATGGGTGCGTTCCATTTTCACTGAAGCAGTGAATGGAAGCTACACACTGGAGAGCGACAAAGAACGTTCAAGTAGGACACCAATCACAGTAGCGATTGACAGTCGACCAGCCTTTGATCATTTGAATGGTCAGGTGATGTCGATTCGAGACAAACGATTAGCCATAGAAATGCTGTTGGTACGTCAAGATGTCGAAAGAGAAAACGTTCATGTGAGATGGATGCCAACAGACCACATGGTTGTCGACGGACTCACCAAGATTGGAGCACCTATGAACTCACTGAGAAAAATTCTGAGAGAAGGAAAGATGATTTTAGTTGAAAAAGATGAAGTGATGAAGTGGATAGGAAAATGTTCGAGAAAGAAATGATTGTGTGTGTTGTTGTCTAAATGTGGAAAGAAGAAGAGAATGTCAAAGGTCAACTAAGGGGTGTGTGAAACATACTCATGTATAGCGTCTGACCATGTGACATTCAACCAGACTCAGTGTGGACATTTCCGATACTTTGGGCACAAGCCCCCTCTTAGCACATCGTGAAAACATAAGAAGGTTGACATGGTGCTGCCACCTGGGAACCGAAGTTAAGGTTCTCAGGATGGGCAAATCAAATGAAAGATGTTGAAAGTGGATTGATATCAATTCGAAGTTGATCTGTTGTGACTTCAACTTACAAGGTCGATTATTTAGGGGCAGAACCTGAGCAAAACCTTCTCCCTAGGTACCTACCTGCTGGGGGGATGATTAATCCTAACTTGCCATTACTTGAGATTCCGCTGGTCCGAAACTATTACTCAAGAAAGGAAAGACTCAGTATACGGGGCGAAGTTCCACAACTGTATAAGCAGGCATAGAGCGCAAATGCAGCAAACTATCATGGCATTAACAATACATAATATATATATATATGTACTGTGTGCGCAAAAGAGTTTGTTCAAACTTCAAACTCTTTGTCCCTCGTTACTGCACGCAATACTGAGTTTGTCACCTTGCATGACCTGGGAGTTCATTAATCTCCATCTTGAAATCGTTGTTTTTGAAGACTCTTCGGTAGAAAGCTGGACAGAGATATTGACATATCTCTGTCTCGCAGAGGTGGCGCACTTAATAAGTCAAAAAAAAAGATCGGCCGCTCCCCTCGGCAATGTGGCTTTGTCCCAAACTTTCAGCGGAAAAACACCTACGCTTTGTCCTCATGTTCCCAAATTGCCATAATTTGACATAATGTAGTTGGTTTTTCCCATGGAATTGCCATCATTTGAATGTCATATAGTTGGTTCATGGTTCTATATCTCATGATATCCAGTGAATCCCGGTGAAATCCACAGTGGAAGGTGCTCTTGGGCGAGAATGGCAGTCAGCGAAAAGCCCTGGCTGTTGACACATTCCCCTGTGAAGCACCTGCACGAGGGGACGGGTAGCCAATTCCCTGTGACCCCCAAAATAGCTGGGAATAAAATGACTGTTCATCCACCCAAATGTGGTATTTCTATGTATTCCTTTTTGGTTTTGATCATTGATCCATACGGTGCATACCCATTCGTTTTGTTCTGCAACTTCAAAATGAGCTGACAAGCTTCACCAAATATGTTTCTTTTGACCCTCTGAGAATTCAACATTGGGAAAGTCACCATCGTCGTAAGCGAGAAGTTGATTTATAACACAATATAGCAATGCTGCTTGCGTTTCTTGTATTACGTTGTACTACTCTTGGGTTTATGGCAGGTATCTCAAGATTTTTGTCCAAGCAGTGAACATGGGCTTTACAAAGCCGCCAAAGCAACAATCATTTCATGGGAAGGCGCCACATTTTCCAACGATTCTAGTGACCATGGTGAGGCTGATCCAAAACAGCAGCGAACCATTCACCATGACTGGGGGACCATTGGTGGGTTACAACCCCTCTGAAAATATTACTCAGTTGGGATTATTATTCCCAATATATATATAGAAAAATAAAAATGTAAACCAGCAACCAGAAAAAGGTCCTGTAGTTTTTTGTCGATTGTCAAGTGGGCTAAATCTGAGATAGGAAGGGAAATTGATGGAACTCACTCCTCAAAAACACATGTGGTTGAAACAAACTCAACCTATCTATATATTCAAAATTCATTTTCATTGCCAACCCTGTTTAGAGCACCTTGAAACATCCCACTTAAAACATCCATTTCAATATCGAAAACAAGGCTGTTTCCAGATCTCACTTAAAACTTGAACGCTTACTGTAGCCGCTTAAGTTGGATTTGCTTAAGGAACCAACAAGAAAAACATATTGTCTTCATCGGTTCCCCCAGTCGTAGTGGACTTCCCATTGGGAAAATTTGCCCAATCACCGACTAAACAACCCCAAGGTTTACTTTAGCTCTTTGATTTACTTGCGTAGAACATGTGCATCACCACTTATACCATATATAAGTTGCCTTAAAAAAGTGGCTTAACTATGGTAACCATGGTAGATCTAACTATAGTTAATGGGTTTGTTTTTACCAGACACTTAACTTGAAGAAAAACGGCACCGGAAGGCCGTGAACATCGTCACTGGCAAGGTCTTGAAGTAATCGTCCAGCTCCAGCTCCCTCGTGCGCGGATAGGTACCGATGGTCATGGTGGCGAAGCCTGCGGCTCCGGCAGAAGCTGGTGACTGGTGCTTTTGTTGATCTCCCGAACATTTGAACTTTTGGTGGCTTGTGTGGAAAATCCATCTAAGCCACAAAATACCAGAGATTTATAAAAGTGTGTCTAGTGAGTCTAGTCCATCCAGTTGTTGTATGAACTCAGAGTCCCGGAATGACCATGGCCCCGTGTCCTGAGATCACATAGATCACACAGAACAGCAAAGAAAATGCCAAAGCCAGGGTACCTTGCTATTGCTGCGAAGTAGGGATATATGGGATGCCAGGATGCCAATCTCGAACAGGAAGGGAATCAAGATGAATCAGCAAATTCTGAAATGGCCATATTGAATCTGGTAGCTGCAGCAATATACTGCTGACGCATTCGTTGCGTTTGCGGCTTACAGAGATGCCCAGCTCAGTGGGAAGGTCCCGGGAATCATCGAGGTCTACTTTGTCATACTCAACCTGGAATGATTGGGGGCTCCAAGGGTCAATGCAAATTCCATAGTTTTGGTATGTACACTTTTGGGTATGCCTAAAACATGGAGTGCGATCGTGCGGAAAAGAATTTGCAAGTGATGTTGTTATTTTTGTCCATTTTTTGGGGTTGATAATGCGCATCCGTGCCCATTTCAACGCTGAAACTTGAAAGCCAGATTTCATGAATGCCTCCCATTCAAAATGTAAAACCTTTGACCCCTCCTGTGTTTGCTCCTGCAGACTTCGAAAACTTTGATCTGTTCACATCTTTTGCAAACAAATTCCGGTTGGTGGTGCAGCAGCATCTCCCGAAATATTAGTGAAGTAGTCCAATCATCCCCAAGTGGGGTTCCCCAAGTTAAATATTCATCACATCAAGTAGGGTTTTGAACATCAACAATTGAAACTGACAGCAGAAACAAACAACATATTCGTACACTTTCAGATATGAGTTCTAAATTCGATGACCCCATTCCATCCCATGGTTCATCACAATTTCTCGATGAACTGGCCATCAACTGGCCATATATAAATATACACACCATGTTCGGACATCTTCGCCCCTGTCCATGATGTATAGGTACATTTAAATACAAACATATACAATATCCAAGTTACATTTATATAATCATACATAATATAGAATATAAAATATATAATATATACAATATATATATATATATTCTATAATTAATAATATATAAAATATTTAAAAATAATATTTATATATATAACTAAATTAAAATATAGATACTATATAATACATATAAAATATATATTATATTATATAAATAATATACAATATATAATAAATATAATATATATACAAATAATTTATAATATATAATATATATATATATATATTTAATATGTAATATATATATATATAATATCTAATATATAATATAAGTAAAATAAAAAATATCTAATTTAAATAATATATATATTATATATATGTATATATAATATATAAAAATAATGTAAATAATAATTACTTTATTTCGTGTTATCCCCACCATGGCATTTATACATTTTCTTACTGGCAAATCTTCTGGCATTCTATCTGACATATCTTCTGGCATTCTATCTGGCAAATCTTCTGGCATTCTATCTGGCATTATTTCTCGCATTCTATCTGACATTTCTTCTATCATTCTATCTGGCATATCTTCCGGCATATATTCTGACATATCTTCTGGCATTCTATCTGCCATTCTATATCGCATATCTTCTGGCATATCTTCTGGCATTCTATCTGGCATATCTTCTGGCATATGTTCTGGCATATCTTCTGGCATTCTATCTGGCATATCTTCTGGCATATTATCTGGCAAATCTTCTGGGATTCTATCTGGCATATCTTGTGGCATTTTATCTGACATTTATCTGGCATTTTATCTGGCATACCTTCTGGCATTCTACCTGGCATTCTATCTGGCATTTTATCTGGCATATCTTCTGGCATTCTATCTGACATTCTATCTGGCATATCTTCTGGCATTCTATCTGGCTGTTGAGGTCCAGCGGTGCACACTGAGCTGGGCAGGTCCCCGGTCCAGCGGTGCACACTGAGCTGGGCAGGTCCCCGGTTGAGGTCCAGCGGTGCACACTGAGCTGGGCAGCTCGCAGGTTGAGGTCCAGCGGTGCACACTGAGCTGGGCAGGTCCCTGGTTGAGGTCTAGCGGTGCACACTGAGCTGGGCAGGTCCCCGGTTGAGGTCCAGCGGTGCACACTGAGCTGGGCAGTTCGCAGGTTGAGGTCCAGCGGTGCGCACTGAGCTGGGCAGCTCGCAGGTTGAGGTCCAGCGGTGCACACTGAGCTGGGCAGGTCCCAGGTTGAGGTCCAGCGATGCACACTGAACTGGGCAGGTCCCAGGTTGAGGTCCAGCGGTGCACACTGAGCTGGGAAGGTCCCAGGTTGAGGTCCAGCGGTGCACACTGAGCTTGCACACTGAGCTGGGCAGGTTTTAGGTTGGGGTCCCGGTGCGCACTGAGCTGGGAAGTTGGCAAAGAGCTTGGCGAAGAGAGTTGGCAAAGAGCTTGGCGAAGAGTTGGCAAGGCGGAAGTGGAGGTGGAAGTTGATGCAGACATGGTCGAGGAGAAACTAGAGGAGGAGGAGGAGGACGAGGAGGATGAGGAGGAGGAGGACAGCTAGCCGAGGAGGAGGAGGAGAACAACTCTGATAAAAACTAACAACCCTCACCTGGCAGGTAGGGAACTATAATATATACGTGTGTATATATATATATATATCATATTATATTAATATATATAATATAATATAATATACATATATATATATAATACAAAATATTTATAATATAATATACATAAAATATTATAATATATATATATTATACATAATATATATATATATGTATATATATAAAATATATGGAATATATATAAAATATATATTATAGATATAATATATAGGATATAAATAATATAAATAATATATATAATATAAATAATACATAAATAAAATATAAAATATATCAAATATATAATATAAATAATAGAAAAAAATAAAATATACAATATATCAAATATATAATATATATATAATATATCATATATATCATATATATTATATATATTATATATATAATAAATATAATATATCTAGTATATGTAATAAAAATAATATATATAATATATATGACATAGATAATATATAATAAATATCGTATATATAAAATCACACATATATATATTATAAATATAATTTGAATAATATATATAATATAATATATATAATATAATATATATAATATATATATAATATACATCTTCAGAAAAATCCTTTGCCATGGTTTTTTCTACAGGTACATCTTCACCAGGCAAAAAAAAACATGTCTGTAGACATCTCTCCAGTTTCGTAATCCGAATGAGTCGTCCGAGGAGCGAAGGCCTGCAACAAGGCCTTTGACCATCAGTCGTAGATCGCGCCTCGAGAGAGCTGTTCAAGGCTCCCACCGACCCAACATCTACCGGGGACCAACGATGGGACTGTTCTACCGAGTCCATTGACAGAGTCAACAACGATGGGGGTTCACCATATCCCTTAATACTGCACGAGTCGAACCAAGCCACAGAATTGGTTCACTAAACAAAGGGAGGGCGAAAAGTTTTGAGCCCCAATGGTCGTAAATGACTGAAAGGGCCTAGAACCAGTAGAGGTGTAATGTTGTCCAGCCAATAGTGATCTCTTGCCAATAGTAGAAACATTTTTCCGCAACTCCAATTTTTCTCCAATACTAGAAGTCAATTAGCTCTATTTACTTTTAGTATTGCCAAAAGAGTCATGTTCAGACCTTGTCCAGAGGGCATGGCCAATAGTGGACCCAACATGGCAATAGTGGAAACTTTTTTCCCAACTCCAATTTTTTCTCCAATACTAAAAGTCAATTAGCTCCATTTACTTTTAGTATTGCCAAAAGAGTCAAGTAAAGCAAATCCTTTTCAAAGCAGCCTTCACTTTTGATTAGCAAAAGCTTAGATTCCAGAAATCTGATCCAATTACCAAACAGCTGATTTCCTTATAAAACCCTTATTAAAAAAAGCAAGAAAACAGGTCCACAAAGGGTACCCCCTTTGCAAGCCCCAGAATAGCAATAACAAACCTGCACCAGGCATGGCAATAGTGGAAACTTTTTTCCGCAACTCCAATTTTGTTGTCCTCCTTCTCCTTCTCCTTCTTCTCCTTCTTCTCCTCCTCCTCCTCGTCCTCCTCCTTCGCCTCCATCCCAGCCATAAGGTTCCAAGACTTTACTATTGGAATGCTGACCCCCCCCCCACCCCCTGGATTTTCCTCTAAAATTACTTTATTTAGGGGGGGTTCCTATTGTGCAGCTAACATTAATGAACTTTTTTAGTGGTGCGGACCATACATGATGTCATTGTCAAAAATGGTATATGTGGTATGATAACATATGATAACCATCCCTTATAATGGGAATCTTGGAAAAATGGCCGTAAACCTCGATGAATGGATTGATGAACATCCCCCTATTTTTACGAGCTGTTCAAGTTTTGACCATGCCACATACGGGAAAAAAAGGGTGCAGTTTCAGTTTTAAGTGCTTATCTATAACCATAGTTGTAAAGGTTATATTCCAACTTATGGTGATTTTACCATGGCCATTACTGCTGAAAGGAGTTGATTGGGACAGCCTGCCGAACCCCAGGGCCCCGGGGTTTGAACTATATGTGTATGTATATCTACATCTATTTGTGTGTTTAGATATAATATACAGCCATATATTATATGATATTATATGTATATAATTATATAAAGTAATCTATATGTGTGTATGTATGTGCCAACAAACATAGACATACAAAGAGGATTTGATGCGAACTTAATCATGAATGATGTTGATTTAAACACATTTAAACCAGACAATTGCGAAATTGCGGCTAAAACATCAGATTCAGGTCCGCAATTCTAGGACACGTGCACACATGTCCAACAATGCAAACAACTAGCTAGAGGAACTATATGGGTTTGTCTGAAAATAGTGGGGGTACTCCTGAGGTTTATCGAATTTGCCCCCACTAAAATGGTTGTTTGCAGGTATATTTATATAAACCGACTATAGTAGAAGTGTTTTCCCACACAGACCCAAATCCATGTTTCTGACGCTTTCGGCAGGCATCCAGAGGCCCAAAACCCAAAAAGTGTTACGTTGCCAAGCTGCATAAACTTCAATCTGAAAACTTTGACGATACGCACCAGGCGTATTAGTCTGCAAAAGCGCAGTAGAGAAGTTCCGAAAATGTCCTTATTTGGCATTTTTCCCCAAATTGTGAAGGCTTCGGATTTTTGATGAAATAATTATTCAAGCAACAGTGGCCGTCAACAATCATGGGTTTTTGTTGTGGACTTGCAGCAAAAGAACATGTTTTGTGTTCCAAACATGTGTCACGTATCTCTTCACGAAACTGGATACAAAACTGGCAAGTAAAAAAGGAAAACCGATCTCAATAGCCTCTTTTCAGTCACAGGATACTCAGGTTGTTGACGTTGACCGACTGAACATGTCAAAATATGCCAAGCATCTGTGCCGGCTTGCAATTGCACCAAACAATCTGTTACGCCAGTGATGCTCAGCAGCACATCAAAGTAATTCCAGAATTTCCTGAACGCTGAAGATTTTTGGGCTTATTTTATGATCATATATATATATATACTAGGCGCAGATGACACGGGACTTTGCGGCCAATTTAGCCGAGGTTTTTTGGCACATGACATGGGATTTATGTATCGTTTTTGCTATGGATTGTTTTTTTACACATGACATGGGAGTTATGCGCCGACCTAAGGGGCAGGTATTTTTCCATTTTATTGACACATGACATGGGAAGAAGTGATGAAATTTATACATGACATGGGACTTCCAGGAAGACACAGACGTCCAAGATGGGAAATGGCAGGTAAATTCCTTTAAATTCCTCTAAAATCTTTAAGTTCTTTTAAATTCCTTAAAACTCCTTAAAAGTTCTTTAAATTCATTTAAATTCCTTAAAATTCTTTAAAATTGCTTGAAATTCGTTCAAATTCCTTTAAATTCCTTAAAAGACGAATTTACCACATGACATGGGTCTTCCAGTTCCTCATTTTTTTTTTGAATTCTTTTTCATTCCGGTAATTTCTTTGAAATTCCTTTAAATTCCTTTAAATTCCATTAAATTCCTTTAAATTCCTTGACATGACATGGGACTTCCAATTCCTTAAAATTCTTTAAATTTCCTTTAAACTCCTTTAAATTCTTTTACATTCCTTTAAATTCTTTAATTTTTTTGAAATTCTTGGAAATTCCTTAAAACTCCTTTAAATTCCTTAAAATCACTTTAAATTCCTTAAACAACGAATTTACCACATGACATGGGTCTTCCAATTCCTTCAAATTCTTTTAAATTCCCTTAAATTCCTTTAAATTCCTCAAAAGACGAATTTACCACATGACATGGGACTTCCAATTCCTTTGAAATTCCAGCTGCTCAGCTCCGACCCGTCCGGACGGTTTTTCAAATAGTTGCTGAATAGCTTCTAAATAGCTGCTAAACAGTTGTTGAATAACTACTAAATAGGTGTTAAATAACTAATAAATAGCTGCTAAGTAGCTGCTAAACAGTTGCTCAATAGCTGCAAAATAGCTGCTCAATAGTTGCTGAATACCTGCTAAATAGTTGCAAAATAGCTTCCAAATAGTTGCTGAATAATTGATCAATGGCTTCTAAATAGCTTCGAAATAGCTGCTAAATAGCTTCTAAATAGCTGGCAAATAGCTGCTGAATAAATGCTAAAGAGCTGCTAAATAGCTTGTGAATAGCTGCTAAATAGTTGCTAAATAGCTGCTAAATAGCTGCAAATAGTTGTTGAATAACTACTAAATAGGTGCTAAATAGGTGCTCAATAGCTGGTAAATAGCTGCTCAATAGCTGCACATAGTTGTTGAATAATTACTAAATAGGTGCTAAATAGGTGCTCAATAGCTGCTCAATAGCTGCTAAATAGTTGTTGAATAACTACTAAATAGGTGCTAAATAGTTGCTCAATAGCTGCTAAGTAGCTGCTAAGTAGTTGCTGAATACATGCTAAATAGCTGCTAAATAGTTGCAAAATAGCTTCCAAATAGTTGCTGAATGGCTGCTAAATAGCTTCGAAATAGCTGCTAAATAGCTGCTAAGTAGCTGCTAAATAGCTGCTCAATACCTGCAAAATAGTTGTTGAATAATTACTAAATAGGTGCTAAATAGCTGCTAAAAATGCTGCTAAGTAGCTGCTAAATAGCTCAATAGCTGCAAAATAGTTCCTAAATAGTTGCAAAATAGCTTCCAAATAGTTGCTGAATAATTGATAAATGGCTTCTAAATAGCCTCGAAATAGATGCTAAATAGCTGCTAAATAGCTTCGAAATAGCTGCTAAATAGCTGCTAAATAGCTGCTAAATAGCTGCTAAGTAGCTGCTAAATAGCTGCTTAATAGCTGCTAAATAGCGGCTAAATAGTTGCTGAATAACTACTAAATAGGTGCTAAATAGCTGCTAAATAGCTTCGAAGTAGCTGCTAAAAAGCTGCTAAATAGCTTCGAAATAGCTGCTAAATAGCTGCTAAGTAGCTGCTAAATAGCTGCTCAATAGCTTCTAAATAGCTGCTAAACAGTTGTTGAATAACTACTAAATAGGTGTTAAATAGCTGCTAAGTAGCTGCTAAACAGTTGCTCAATAGCTGCAAAATAGCTGCTCAATAGTTGCTGAATACCTGCTAAATAGTTGCAAAATAGCTTCCAAATAGTTGCTGAATAATTGATCAATGGCTTCTAAATAGCTTCGAAATAGCTGCTAAATAGCTTCTAAATAGCTGGCAAATAGCTGCTGAATAAATGCTAAAGAGCTGCTAAATAGCTTGTGAATAGCTGCTAAATAGTTGCTAAATAGAACAAGGAGGTGAATGGATTCATGTGACTTTGGAATATTCTAACTGCTGACATATAATTTTGGATTATTCCAACTGCTAGTAGGTAGTCATACACTCACATACTATCTTTGTTCATGTGGGATGTGAAATGTACAGTGTGTGAGTTAGTTGACATGACATGTTGTGCATCTTTTTGGATGCAGAGGTCCCATGTCATGTGATTTTTCTTCCGAGGCACTTTACAGATGACACGGGACTTATGCATTTTTCTGTTCTTTCACTTTGCAGATGACATGGGAGTTTGCGTTTTTTTGGGTATGTCCGACAACTCCCATGTCATCTGCAGGTACTATAACATATTATATTATGTATACATATTATATCATATTATATAACCTTAGTTGCGGGAGTTACCGGTCCCGGGCAAGTCGGGCGGAGCTTTCCAAAGGGAAGCGAAAAAAGGAACGACGCCTCCGCCAGGCTGATGCAATAGTTAAACCGATGTCTTGATAAAGCCGCTCTTCGTTGACGTCTCCTTCTCTTGGCATCCCTATCTTTTGGATTTTTTTTCTTGAGATCTTCGTTCTGGTATCCTTTTGTTTTCATCTTTTTCTTGCGATCTCTTTCTGTTAAAAATGGTTTCCCTTGAGACCTTCTGTCTTGACATCTCCTGTCTTGAAGCCGGTTTTCATTCTCATGTCTTTCTCTTGGCATCATTTTCTCCTGCATGGCGTCTCTTTCTCTTGACATTTTCGTCGTTTGCTAATAAAATCCGTCCTGTGTGCTACAAAGGTTGCACAAAGTACTTCCTGTACTGCAAAGTTTGCACAAAGTACTTCCCAGTACTACTTCGTACCACATATTGCACACATTCGTTCCGAGTACTACTTCGTACTACAAGAATTGCACAAAGTACTTCCCGCACTACTTTGTACTACGAAGGTTGCACAAAGTACTTCCCAGTACTACTTCGCACTACAAGACTTGCACAAACTACTTTCCAGCACTACCCTGGGCATCGTACATTGATTGAAATCAACAAAAATGCATAGAAATTTATTGATATTGATTTGCATCGTTTTTATTGATTTTTCTAATATTTTTAAAAAACATGTTTTTCCAATGCAATATTGATTTTAAATATTGATTTTGCTCATGGTTTTCATATTGATTTTTATTTGCATGGTTGTGGCTTCTTGTTAGTGGTTGAATGCTTTTCATCAAAATGGAACAAGATGCTGAAGTCTGTGGCTCAAGTGGCTTGCTCATGCAGCTTTCTTGACAAAAGAAAGCTGTCCCATTTCTTGCTTTTTTCATCACTTGGCTTCACCCTTGTCAAAAGGTGAAGCATGTCTGTTGGTTTTGAAAACAGAGGTGGGAACAGACATAATGTGAAGCCCCAGGTAGATGAAGATGTGCTGATGAAATGTTTCCTTGCCCATTCAGCCCTCCTTCAAAACATGCATGTGTATGAGCACATCTCCAAGTCCCAAGCTTGCAATCCCAAAGGTTTGTTCAAGCTTTTGCCCTTGACAAAAGGGCTCCTGGAGTTGGAGCCAACAGGGGAGGTCCACAGCCAATGCTTGAGAAATGCCATATTTCAAGTGTTACTGGCTGAGCCCAGCTTGAATGACACCAAATGGTCAGGAAAGGTGTGGGTTGGCATGAGATGTACAAGAGTAGGGGTATTGCTTTACCACATGAGAAGGCTTGTGGGCACAGAGATGAAAACTTGTGCTGCAAAGCTCTCTGGGTCTGAGTTCTTGCAGCTGCAGGAAGCAGTTGGCATAATGGAGAGAAAACCAAGTTCAGATGCACCAGAGCTGCTACCCCTTGCCAAAAGGGGTTTGGAGGAATCTGATGCAGAGGAAAACCAAAAGAGGAAGTTGAAAAAAGAAATTAGTGATGTGAGTTTGGATAGCAAAGGCTATCCAAACTGTTTTGCCACACCACAAAAAGCATGCTCTGAAAATGAGGAGCCCTTGAAGGAAGAAACAGCCTTGACAAAAGGCTTGTCAAATCCTTCATTTCTGAGAAGAAGGCCAGGACAACTTACTAGAAGTAGCAGCAGCCAAGAGAAACCTCAGGACCTGAAGAAGGATTTGGGTTTTGCTGTGAAAAAGAAGCCAGCACACCAGAAAATTAGGGGAAAAAAGAAGAAGCAGAAAGCAGAAGCCACTTGCTTGACAAAAGCTGGTGGTAGATGCATGCCAATCCCCTTGACAAAAGGGTCAGGCAAGAAAGAAAGTTCCTTGACCAAAGGGGCTAGCAAGGGCAGAAAGCCATGGACCAAGCTGTTGGTTACTACTACAAGAAAAGAGCCTTGGAGGGCATACATCTTAGGCACCCATGCAAAGGATAAAAAAGGTGCAAAGCTGATTGTGGAAACCACATTTGCTGCCCACCCATCTTATCAAAAAAAATTGGCAGAGATCAAAAGGAGGCTGGAGGAAGAGCACCTGACAAAAGAAGAAGCCAGGGAGTTGAGGGGCCATTTGTATCAGACTTGGTAAATTCTTCAACCTTGGTTCTTGACAAAAGAACCTTTGTTTTTGAAGCTAGGGGAGAAGCTATTGACAAAATGGCTCTTCCAGTGCCTGCTGCTTTCTTGACAAAAGAAAGCCCTTTGAAGCACAGCTTTCCTTGACAAAAGGTTTGCTGCCAAAAGCTTTTGACCCAAGTACTTTAAACATAGCAGGAAAACAAAGGGGGGCCAGGG